TGTGTATAGATAGTTATGATTTAATAATTAAAATGATTAATAATAATTATGATTTAATGATAGTGAAAGTAACTGCAAACTTTCAAAGACAAGTGCAACAAGGGGGTTTGTTGGCTATTTTTCCTTTCTCATATAAATCTTTGTATTGACAGCAATGACAAACTAAATAAAAAGAGTTAAAAATAAAAGTTTGAGAAATCCACTGTAGAGTTTGGGGAAAAAATAAAGAGTTGAGGAAAGAAAGAGCAAAAAGGGTATGGAGTCTTAATACATCAGGACACTAATTTACTTCAGGGGCAACAGGGTGGATTCTTTTGACTAAAAGGGCAGTAGGGTGCTGCGCCCTGTTTACCCTGCCTAGAATGAGCTCTGCAATAGGGGAATATTTCCTACATTATATCAGAGGTCTGTCCAGGCCGAATTTATTACCGTTTAGCGGTACCTTCACAAATTCAACTTGAGGAAAAACGGTAGTTTCACAAAATACTTTCTCTTGAAATTTTATTTTCGTATCCCTTAAGAAACGATAAATCCATATTTTTGTATTGATTTTTTGATATAATTTTCAATTTTTCACAAATTATGTTTAAATTTTCACAAAATAGGCACCTTTCAGAAAAACCTAGACACACCCCTGAATATTCTACAACAAGACTTTTAATAACTTTTTATGTAGATATTGTTAAATTTAAACTCTAAACCATTTAAATTACTATAATGTAATTTTTAAGTGATGGAGATTCCATCAGTGTCTGTCTATATCTTCTATGATTGCTAATGCGCCAAATGGTTTTTGTACTTACAAGAATTTAAAACGAAAATGTTTCATGGTTTGCAGAATAGCTAGAAGACATACCTTTTGAATTTGTTTCCTTCTGTGAATTTTTTTACTTTTAAGCACATTTTTTTTAAAGTATAGGTAATGTAACCTGTATTTGTATTAAGTGATCATTATAAAGGTAGCCACTCTTTTACTGTCTGCATGCTAATTTCATGACGGGCAAGTTTACATGTCCCATTAATTAGTGCACCATGGATTACTTGACCCAACTATATTTTTACCCAATACTTTCAATCGTTAGAATTACATTCAAAGGGTCTAGTTCATTTCATCGACATCACTTTATCATGAGGTCATTTCATTGGCTAGATCATTTTGTTGATAGTGTCGTTTTATTGACAGGCCCTTTTGTCAACATATTAATTTTGTTGTCAGGGCTGTTATTTCGACAGAGTAATTTTGTCAATGCTCCATTTCATTGACAAAATTACCATTTCATCAATATGGTGATTTTGATGACAAGTTATTTTCGTCGACAGCGTCATTTTTGTCAACAGGGTAGTTTTATCAACAAAGTCGCCAGCATTGTTTCTTTGACAAGATCTTTTCATCAATAGGGTCATTTCCTTTTTTCCCAAATTTCCTTTTATTTATTTTCCTTTTTTATTATAGATAATAAATCATGACTTTTATCTCATTATGAGGACATAATTTTATATCTATCTTTTTTAACAATCATTCATTGGCACCGGGCTACACTGAAGGCTAATGATATTGCGATGCATTTAATATGCTGTACTTGTTACATTGCATATTAGTTTTGTTTTAATTTCATATTCGATTTCATGGTTTTGTATTCGATCTAGTTTCCAAAAAAATTTCAAATTTTGATCTACCATTTTGAAAATTTTGTTCCCTTTAGTCATGTAATGGAGAAAAAATTTCTTTATTTATTTGTAGAAAAACGGCTTGTTGATGTAGGTCAATTTTATTATGAAACATTTGTTCTCTTTAATTAGAAAAACTTATATCAATTTTTTGATTGATAAAAATTATGTGTTTTCATATTATCATTCAATTCTTTCATAGAGCTACTTTTTTTTCATTATTTAGTTTTTGTTTGTTTCCTTTTTTAGTTTACTTGAATTAGAGTTTAGGATGAGCTGCCATAAAATAAAACCTAAACTATACATATACTGAAAGACAATGTCATTTTGAAAATTTATAAGTACAAGCTAAGTAATATACAGATGTAAAATTTGTAGAAATGGAATTTGCTGCTAAAATTAAAATGCATTTGTATTGTAATCAGATTCAATTAAATCATTTTGTGTTAATAATTTTTTCTCTCTCTTTTAGGTGGAATGCAAGATTTTAATTATATGTTTAGTAATTGTTTTGAAATCACTTTGGAACTTTCTTGTTGCAAATATCCTAAATTTTCAAATATATCTGATGAATGGGAAAATAATAAAGAAGCCCTATTATCTTTCATGGAGCAGGTGAATCTCAGTCACTGATTTTTTAAATTTATTTGAGTTTTTTTTTTAAATTTCTCAAATAGTGGTTGTTCTTGATTTTTTTTAAAGATTAGAATTATGTGTCATACATTTTTAACATTTCTTTTAGATTCATATTGGTGTCAAAGGAAAAGTTGTTGATTCTGAAACAAAAGAGTCTATAAAGCAAGCTTTTGTAACTGTTATAAGCATTGATCATAATGTTACAACTACAGAAACTGGCCACTATTGGCGCTTGCTTTTACCTGGTATTTACAATGTGCAGTATTCTGCTTATGGGTAAATATTATTTTTAGTAGAATTTTCAAAACTTGTTTGTTTTTAGTATGCAACTGTGTTTTGGTGATTTTTTTCCTCACCAACCAGTTTTGCGGCATTTTGAATGGCACCAATTTGGGACATTACAGAACAGAATTTAATATTGCATCCCTATAAAATTATAATTTTATATATTTTTTTCTTTACAATATTCTATTAATAATACAGGGTGCTCCAAAATTCTCTTTACAACTTCAAAAATTCATAGCTTTGAAAATAAACACGATATTTATATTCTGTCTTTTGCGTGTATTACTGCAACTAATAAAGTTTTGTTTAGTACACTTCAACATGCACACTATTGGAGGCTCTAAGCACTTCCAGTCTGTAATCAATTTCAAGCCAGGTGATGTAAAGATAATTTTAGAACACCCTGTATATTGAAAAATAGTGCAGAACTATACCAAATCTTAGTTTCTAAGCAACAGTTTTGCTACCGTGAGCACCGGCATAATCAACTCGAGCAAATAATCTAAAATTTATCATTGTTAGTAGAACTTTATTTCAAAGACACATGTGATTAAGATGACCATAAAAACTGCCAAATTCGTTTTCATTTCTTCAGAAAACGTTACTTTTACTAAATTATTCAAATTATCACAACAAAAATGCTGATCTTTACATCAACAAGCTTAAATCCAAATGCATTTACAAAATGCTATAACACCCACCTACAAGCATTCAGCCAACAAAATATTAATGTAACAGAAAATTCATTCCTAAAACAAAATTCAAATAATTTAAATTATGCAGAAAATATTACATATCTACTGGAAACTCTAATGAATCTTTTTTACATCACCAATCAACTAATCCTTCTTGTGCAATAACAAATCTATCACTTGCAACTTTCTGTTTACAGTTCCTCCTACTTACTTTAAAATTGGAACCAAATTGTCATCAGATATCGTCCAACTTGTCAATAATAAAAAATGTCAGAAACAGTTGCTTACTTAAACAGCTATTACTTATACAGCTATTACTTATACAGCTATTATATATACAGCTATTACTTGCACAGCTATTTGTACTGCTATTTGTCTGTACTTGTATAGTTATTTGTACTGATAACAAAACTGTGTTGATTTTGCTTATAAAGATAAAAGTAATCTGAAATCTTTTTTTTAATATTTATTTTTATCAAATGCTAAAAAAGTTTTCAAGCTCAAAATTTTGTAAATATCTGTCGTGTTGTTATGAGCAACAATGTACCCACAAGAAGCTTAGGGCTGTTCCCTATGCTGCTTGTTATCACTAGCCAAACTCAAGGACTGAGTTCTAATTAATACATATTTAGAGATGATAACAGCTAAGATTTATCAGTAATTTATTGCGATTTCATGATTGATCTTACAGTTGAGTAATAAAAATTATGTTGTTTAAAATTTCACAAATAAATTGCTTTAAAGAAATTTTTTTCTCCTTAACTATCAAAAGTTGTAAAAAAATTTTGCTTGAAACTAAACTACAATTATTTTTTTCTATTCCTTAAATAATTTTGAAAGCAATAAATAATGAAAACTGTTAGATAAAAACAAGAAGAAGAAAAAAAGAAATTTCCTCATTCCTTCTTCTTACAAGTTAATTTGAAGTTTAATTCTCTCTCCTTATAGAAAAGCAAAAGAACATAAGCTCAAATCTTAAATGCTGTGAGCAAAATCTTTTGCTCAAACGCAAACAAAAGCACGATTTCTATTTTAACCAAAAACTAGAGCAATTAATCAGTTTTAATTTTTGTGTTTAATTTTTATAGTGATGTATAAAATTCAGTATTTTTAAATTAGTACCCTTATCTAAATGCTACTTTTTTCTATTAAATGGTAAAGTCATGCTTAGTTTCATTAATATTATATACCTGCATAGACTTAAGCAGAATATATGCCTTAAAATTACTCTAATTTCATAAAAGCTAACTGTTTATCGTTCTGTGTTATTTTACTTCTGATTACTGATAGCTAATTTGGAAAGTTGGCAACTCTGCATTTATTTATTACATAAATCTTATCATCCGAGCATTGGACAAAATTGTACTGAAAATACCCTGCTATATACCTACTATTTCTCTTGGACTAATATGTAATGTTGAAAACCAGTAACTAAAAATATTTTTAGTTATCTTAGTTACTTTAATGCACACCATTTCTAATGATTTTCAAATGGCAATTTTGTAACGAGTAATGTTTTTTTTAGATATAATTCAAAAGTCCAGCTGGTTGTTATTAAGGGAAATGTTACAGAAGAGGTCAATGTTGAACTTGATCCAGACTCTCCTGTGACTCAGCAAAATCTTGAAACTTCTTCTACTTCACCAACTCCTATTAAAATCACTGAATCATCTGTTTCAACATCTGAATATGTGCCTTCTATAACTCTAAGTCATGGATCAGAAACCGATAAAAAATCTGACGTTCCACTATTTAAGCATCATCACTATGAAGAAATGGTTGCAATAATGAAAAACGTATCTCAGGAGTGTTCTAACATTTCTAGATTGTATACCATTGGGCAGTCTGTAGACAATCGAGAATTATATGTGATTGAAATGAGTGATAATCCCGGAATACATGAACCAGGTATACATTTTTTACATACTTTGATATTTCCCTTATCTGATTTTTTTTATAATTGTATTGCAAAGGACCTTAAATTTGCCTTGCATTAGATTTTTATGTTTTTAAGTACCGTAATTTATGGAAGAAAGGCCGCGGCGTTTACGAGTTTAAAATTTTAATTGCGGCGTTTATGCCGGTTGCGGCGTTTACGATATTTTAAAAATAAATTTTACATTTTTCAAAGAAAATTTTTTTAAAAATCAAAATAGTTGCGAATTATGGCAAAAGATGGCGCCACTATTGATAACCAACCGCCCCTTAAAGAAAGTGGGTTGATCTCGATCTAGTTCCCACCAAACCGCGTGGTTGATAGCTCTTTCACATTTTTTCTCACTTTGTTACAACGTGCTTTGTGAATAAATTAAATTGCGGAAAGTTTTCTTTTTAGTATTTGCTAATATTTATACATTGTTGTTATGGACGCGACTTATAAACTGATATCTTCTTATTTAAATAAAAAGAGGTATATTTCCAAAAAATAAATAAATTAAATTAAAAAAAATATTTATAAAATATAAATATGTAGTACAGTATGGAACCCGAAATTCGGCACTTAATCCGACCAAAATTTTTTTCTTTCTTTTTTCTTTTTAAAAGAAATTTTAATGATAAGAGAAAAAAAAAAGTAATATTTCTTTTTATTTGGAATTTTTTTCTCTTGAAGGAAGTAACTATATTTTATCTTTTAAAAATAAAAACATGAAGAGAAAAAATAATAAGTCTGTGTCAAACAAATCATCTGTTCCTAAAGCAGTTTAAAATAAAGTGAAATTGAAAAGTAAAAACATCTGCATTTCCAATGAACAAAATAAAGAAATGCAAGTTGGGAGAAACTGATGAATCAATCTTGACAGCTCTGCAAGTGCTTTACTTTTTTGTCCCCCCACATTTCCCTCTTCTCTTTGACTATAAATTAGCCACACCCTTTTGACATTGAAACTTCTTTCTCACTTGGTGTACAAAATGAATTCTATCCCTTTCGCTGCTTTTTTTTTATTTTTAAATTCAATTTATTTATCCTTTTATTGCTTATTAACTGTTACTTTTTTTTGTTACACTTGTTAACTTGGTTTTTTTTAATCATTATTAGTTGTTTGCTTCTTTTTTGTAGTTATTCATTGTTAGGTTCTTGCCATTAATTGTTACTTTTTTTGTAGTTCCTTGTTAACTTTTTTTTTTCCGAGGTGAGCATCTTTTGTTAAAACAAAATGCTATGTAAAAGAAAAAACGAGAACAATGATCTCGCTCTGAAGAAGAAACGATTATTTCTTTTTCGGATTATTTCATCTTGAATTATTTATCCTTCGAATTATTTCTTCTTGATTATATCATATAGATTATTCAACTGAAACATTTTAATTAATGAAATTTATAAAGATGGGACAGTTTTAANAATAGCGATGGTCCCGATCGTTCCGGATAATCGGTTCCCTACTGTACTTTGATATTTCCCTTATCTGATTTTTTTTTTAACTGCATTGCAAAGGACCTTAAATTTGCCTTGCATTAGATTTTTATGTTTTTAAGTATTTCTCTTATCTAATTATTTTGGACTGATCGTTCAAAATTTTGAAACTTGAGAATTACAAAATCCACCGCTTATAAAATTAAAAAAATTCCGGAGAATTCATGTATCGCAATACGACATATTGAGCTCTTAGAAATATATAGCGTTCTTGGAATCTGCCACTTTGATTATGGTATTGCTTGTGGATTGTAAAACACTAGCTGATTGATAAATTATTAAATATATCTCCAGTATATGCTGATTCATATTGTTCGTTGTTTATTTGATGTATATTTTAACTGAGTATAGATTGATGGAAATGAATCACAATATTTTTATTCATTGTTCACTTTACTTTGGATTATAAGTGTTTAGTCTATTTTGTATCATTTTGATTACTTGTAGCTTTTAACATCATTTTACTATGCAAAAGTTTTATAAAATTTCTTTAAAATATAATTTTTTATGATTAATAGGGCAACAAGGAATAAACCTATGTGTAGGATAGTATGCTTCATTAGATTGTCCAAGAATTTATATGTATTTAATTTTAGTTTTATCCGCAATTTTAAATTAATACTCAATAGTCATTTTATTAATTATCTATCTGTTATATACTTTTTTACCCATTAATAATTTTTGCTTCCTTTTAGGTGAACCTGAATTTAAATATGTTGCTAATATGCATGGCAATGAGGTTGTAGGAAGAGAAATGCTACTGCTATTGATTCAGTATTTTTGTGAAAGTTATGATAAAGATGAAAAGATTAAAAGGTTACTCGATACTACTAGAATCCATATCATGCCTTCTATGAATCCAGATGGCTATGAAAAAGCTAGAGAAGGTATGCTTTAACTGTTATTTGTTTGCCTTATGTTTTGGTTTCCTTGAAATAAAAAATTGTAAAGCTATTGCAGGTGCAATAATTTTAAGATTTCTCCCCTTACTGTTTTCAGGAAGCCTTATTTTTTTTTAAATAATGGAAGGAAATTATTTATAGGCTAATAACCATTTGGTATCAGAGGTTTAACTTTTTAATTTAAACTGTTTAAAAAATGTGAGCAATTTAACAGTTAATTTTTTTAATGTTTTATATATAAAACATTAATAAAAAACATTCTAACATTATATCACTTTACATAGAAATTGTTTGTGTGATATACAGTTAGAAAAAATATTCATTTCCAATAAAATTACTTAACTTAATTTTTTTTTCCTTCTGTGTTGAAAACTTTGGTTTTTGAAATTCTTCAAAAAAATTATTTTCTCACTTATTCTTTCCCCAAATTTAACTTTTGTTCTATATTTAAAATTTTTCCTTATGTAATTTCTTCTTAGATTTTTTTCTGCCCCCAAATTATCACAATTTAAAACAAATTAGTTAATTTGGGGTTTTTGATGGCTTACATAAGCATTCCTGATATCCTTAGATCCTACCTTGTCAGCAAAACAAGAGCAAATCTCAAAACTCCTCCGCCACCCCGTTAGATGCTTATGTAATATTTGAATGCCCTTTTGTGCGAAGACGTTAATGAAATGAACAGAAATGGTCTTTGAGAGTGGACGCCATGTAGTTATTATTATATTATTTTTAAAATTTCAAAAATAAAATAAATCATCAAAATTTTCATTGTAAAATATGATATTTACTAGAAATTTAATAGTCTGAGTTTTTTGTTAGTGTAGCTTTAATTTTATTTTCAATTTAAACATAAATATACTGCATATTTCAATGTATTAGTAGACTTTTCGAAACCCGAAATTTTGCGAAAATCAGGGTCGACACTGGTAATAATTTATTGATCGTGATTTATTGATAAACAGTGAGATAGATATGAATATATCAATTGGTATGTATATATCAAAATATAGATATGAATATATCAATAGGTAAATGACTGTATCAATTTACCTATTTCCAAAACTATTTTGAATATGTTCTGTACAATCGATTTTGCTTTTTTTTTCTAATCATATTTCTTTACACAAAAAGATTTTTTTTTGGAAACAATATGTTAAACTAGATTCAGAAAAAAATTAAGAATGAGAAAAGTTAACTATAAATTCAATAATATTTCAAAAAATATGACAGAATAAAAACTTTTTACTCTTAAAACTACAAATTTAAAGATTCAAGAACATTGCCAGATTTAATAATGTTAGTCATACAGATCCCACTCTTCAATGGATCCTCATCTGCTGAATCTCACAAAAAATCGTCTTCACCTCCTCTCAAGGATTTGAAAATTCCACACTTTTTAAAAGCTTTTAATGTAATATTTGAAATCAAGTTTTGCCATGCATCTAATATCATTTGACTTATGGCATCTATATAAATAATGATCAAGTAATTGACAGTAGTCGACTTACATTCCTGACATACCGGAAATTCACAATCTTGTCATAAAAAATAGGGGGTTGAATTAATCACTGAGATATACGTAGATATGATTGTGCACCGGAAAAAATCCGTATTTCCAGATTTTTCACTAAGCGTGATCCGGAAGTTTCTGGAATTCCAAAGTCCAGAAATTTGAAGAAATCATCGATCGTATTTATTTATAAAAATTCTTGTATATTTTATTTAAAAGTATTAGAATTAGAATTTATACTTGGCGTCTCTTTCATTTGTAAATATTTTTTCTGATAAGATAATAAATGTGATCAGAAATGAAAGTAAACTTATATATAATTATTCATTTAAATAATGCTGTGTATAATTTATTTAGAATTTCATGATTTGAAAATATAAATGATTGAAATTTATAAAGACTTTAATTTTTAGAAATGCGTTATTTTTACTCAATATGCGAAAATATTTACTCAAATTATTTCGCATTAACTCAAATGTGAAACTATTTACTCAAGAAATTTTCAGGATTTTTGGGTTAGGCTCACAATCACCCCTGTAATACGGTAGTGGTAGTTTTAAAAAGCTAATTTATGTATTATAGGAGATGCTGATGGAGAAGTTGGACGAGAAAATGCAAACAATGTGGACTTGAATCGAAACTTTCCAGATCAATTTGGTGTATTTAAAGAAAATGCTGTAGCACAACCAGAAACAGCGGCAATGATGAAATGGATTTTGTCCTATCCGTTTGTGTTATCAGCCAATTTGCATGGTGGTTCATTAGTTGCAAATTATCCTTTTGATGATAATGCAGCAGGAAAAGATATGTATAGCAAAAGTCCAGATGACTCCGTTTTTCGAAAATTGGCTTATGTATATTCTGAGGTAATTATTTTTTTTTCTTCTCACTGTAATTTTTTTTAATCTGAAACAAATAAAATTATTTTAAAAAAAAACTGGTTAACATCTAATAAAATAATAGTAACAGTTTTCATTGTTTATTACCTACAACAAAACAAAAATTTTTACAATTCAATCAGTATTTTTTTTATATTTAACTTGATGTTTTTTTAATTTTTGAATCATTTTTACTCTACATAATTTTCTCCCCTATAACAATATGCCAATAAGCCTGCAATATATTTAGGTTAAAATTAAGCCACATTCTTCCTTCTTAAAATATGTTTATTAATGTAGTAAATTTCACTGCTTATTTTCAAAAGAAATTGTCCTAGAATATTCAAATTAGGGTATACATAATAGTGATATTAAGCTAAATCTGGTAAATTTAGTTTATATCCTAAATTTTAATACTTTATTCCCCATTTACATAATTTTAAACTTCACTAAAGAAAAAAAAAAGAAAGACTAAAATTTATGATTATTAGTTTGAAATTGAATGATCATATCAAAGGAAAAATATATCTTTTTAATGTATTTTTTTCATGTAATAAACTTATCAAATAACTTTTCCTTATTTAGTTGTTATGTGGTAATACATGCATATTTATTCAAATTTTTAGTAAAATATTTTATTCTTTTATACCAAGGAATAAGTTTTAAAATGTTTTATACTCTGAGCTTCAGATCTAGCTTTCATACAACTTTAACTTTCTGTATAACTTACTAGTTTTTACTTTTAATTTTTCAACTAAAAAATGGAGCGAGTAGTATAATTTAGGAAAAAAAATTCCAATCTTTTATCCTTGGTTAAAATTGAGTTAAGTTTGAAGGTTAAGATTTAATTTTTGTGTTTTCTTAAGATAAACAATATTAGATATCCATTATCCATTAAGATATCCATTATTTTCTTCATAAAAATCTTCTTAACATTTTGCCTCTATAAATGCTATGTTACAGAATTAAAATCTCACTGTATTTGCTAATTTAGAGTTAAAAAAAAAATAATGTGATTGTCAAATTTAATGTAACACATTTCTCATTAATCTCATTTGCCACATTTTGAAAGGATTTTTAAAAAGGTAAGTTATGCATGCAATTTTTCTGAATACTGTCTGTAAATTTATTTTGAGTATCTCATTTTTAGGCAAAATTTTTCATTAGTTTATTCTTAGCACCTGGAAAAAACTTTATCATATTTTTTTCCTGTTATTATTTTTTTATTGCTTTTCACTATGATTTTGATAATCTTGTAAATTATATTACTTTTGTAAAAAAAAATATTAATTTTAAATGGAATGCAGGTTGGAAAAGAGGAATTTTTTATATTAAATTGATAAAAATGAACATTTATTACTCCTTAAACTGTTATTCTATCATCTGCTTCTTCAACCATTTGTGAAGCACTCTTTCAATTGTTACATTTCATAATGCATTCAATTGTTACATTTCTAGAATGAAGGAATGGGAAATTTTGCTATAATGTGCAACTCAAGTCATAATATTCACTTTTTCAGATTAACATTTATATTTCATTCCTTGGATAGAATCTCTTCTGGAAGGGGTTTTACTTAGGGTAATCAAAAGGAAACAATCTTAGATAAAAAAAATTTCTTTACCTAAAATCCTTACATTTTCTTTACCTTTAATTTAACAAATGCTGTAAAACAAGTGATTCAGCTTACGTGTTATCTCCTGCCAAGTATGCCTAGAATTGTTGGGAGGACAGCAGGGAAAAAAAGCTATAACCAGAGATGCCAACATGCTCCGTACATCGGATAAATATTTTTGAGTGGTAGCTTTTTAAAGGCATGATTCTTGATTTAATAAACTCAATTTAATGTGTTTCACTTACCACTTCTTCCAAATAATTCTAAGGCATGTATGATATACCACTTTGTTACAGTTACGTCGTGTTCAGCCTTTTTAAAAAGTCGGCAAAATTAACAGAAAATCTGAAAATTTCAACCTGTAATTCTCAATTGTTTTTTAAAATCTTTTGTTGAATTCGGAGATGCTGGCATCACTGTATGACGTCCACTCTGAGAAGACTAATAAAGAAAATAGGGGGCCAGCAGATTTAAGTAGGCGAAATAAAACAAAACTTTGAAAAAATTAAATTAATCAATGAAATAAAATAAAAATCTACTAGGAAGAAAATAGTAATGAAAAAGATAGATACTAATTGCCAAAACAGAATATGTTAGGTTAAATTTAAAACAATTATGGTAATTTCAGCTCAAACTGCTGTTACATATTATTTTAAAAAGAGAAAATTTAAATGTCCAGGGTCCTAAGTACACATAGTTATCAAAGACTTGCAGAATCACTTAAGGCTATTATTTAATGTGTTATTTTTGTAGTGTGTTTCGCTAATTGAGTAATTCATTTTCAATATTTTATTTTAATCACAGAAACAGCCTACAATTCATTTAGCTCAGTAATGTGGTAAAGGATTGATGAATTAATTATTTTCTTTTATGCTTAAATAAAAATTAGAATATAAGCAAAATTACATTATATTTCCATTAAATATGCTGTCATTAAGTTTTATTTCTGTTTGATGTATATTTATATCTAAATTTGTTAATTATTTTCATTTACTGGAATTTTACATTTATTGCAGAAACATCCTACCATGCATTTAGCTCAACCTTGTGGTAAAGGATTAATGAATGAAAAATTTCCTGATGGAATAACTAATGGTGCTGCATGGTATAGTGTTTCTGGTATGGCTGCACATATTTTTATATATTATTTAAATAAAAAAATTTATTTCCGAAGTAATGAAAATATTAAAGCAGAAAAATCAATTCAAGCCTTATTTGATTTAGGAATACTAATTTTTCTAGTGACATCATGTAATAAAGCATGATTTCTTTTTAAGCCAACCAAATTAAGAAAGATATGTTCAGTAGTTATTGTCTAAGATAAATTTATAAAATTTAAACTTGTAATATTGAGGGAAATTCATAAATTTGGAAGATTATTTCATATTTTTATGTTAGAAAATATTTTTATATTAGAAAAGTTTTTAAATTAGAAAAATTAGTGTAGTGAAACCTCTATTTCCCAAAAAGATATGAAATTCAAGAAAATATAAAAATAGAAACTTACAAAATTTCAATTTAGGTTTGCAGGAGTGTGTTTTTCTTGAGAAAAGTTCAATTTTCAAAATATATTTCAGAATGTAGATTTTTGAAAAAATAAATATATTATTCAAATTAATATTTCTCAAGTCCATCAATATAAAATTCCAAAATGATAATTTAAAAATTGTAAATTTTTTTGTTTTATGTTTCGGGATACTTATTTTGCCAAATTTTTTAAAATCTCTTTTAAAGCCACATACAATTTATTTTCTGCGGATGACTTTCCCTTTGTTTAGATACAAGCAACGTTTTTCAATTTCCAGTTTAACTGATACACAAAATTCAAATGTGATCTTTTAAAATAGTTGTTATGACAACAGAAAACTAAAAGAAATATTTCTATAGTTTTTTCCTATCCTCAAAATCTCAACCATGCATCATTGCAGAATTACCAAGAGTTTTTAATTGCAATTATCTATTGATTGATCGAATTTGCTGTTTAGAATCTGAAAGTCCTGTCTTGTTGTTAAAAAAAAATCTTTTTATTATGATTGATTTATTAACTAAAAAGACTGATGTTTTCTGCTCAAAATTTTAAATCTATCTTTTATTACAGACATTTGGATTACATAAGCTTGACTCTAATCTGTTTATATGTAATGACCTGAAAATTTATATATTTAATATATTTAAAATTTTATAAACTTACTGCAATGAATCTGTTACTTAGGAAAATAATTTGATATATACATTAAAACAAATAATTCCTCTGTTTCATCTTTAAATTAAGGTTAAAAATTAAGAATGTCATAAACATTTCCTCTTAATTTAGAAAACATTTCTTATAAAGATAGAACTTAATGATTTACTTCATGATATTCATTATAATGAAATAGACGAATTTTTCATACTGTTTCTTTTATATAAATTATGAAAGAATTTTCATGATTTGTTTGAATAGTAATTAACATACTAGAAGTACGCTAATAAATGGGATTGGGTACTAATAAATGGGTACGCTATTGATAATGCTATTACAGGACTGCCAACTTTCTGCAATTTGTGGGAATATTTTTTTATTGGCAACAAAATTTATGCACTTTTAATTTTGCAATTTGGTTACTTGAAACCATTCTGTATGCCAATTATTTAAGAATTTTTATCACCTGTTAACTTTTCTTGAAATGGATTTAGTAAACTTCAAAAGTCTTTTAAAAAACATTTATTTAATGCTAATTTAAAGACCTCTCTCTTAGCTATTTATTTTTTGCAGGCGGCATGCAAGATTGGAACTATTTGCATAGTAATTGCTTTGAAATCACTTTGGAACTTGGTTGTTTCAAGTATCCAAATGCAAGTCAGCTTCCAGAATACTGGAGACACAACCGAGAACCTCTCATTGCTTTTATCGATCAGGTAGATATAAATTATGAAGCCTTAGAAGTTTTTTGAATGTTATGTTACTTTTCCTATGGAATCGTATTGTTAGTTTAATAAAAATTTCATGCATTTTCCAGAACTCGGGGAGTAAACAGTTATGTTGTATCTAAAGATTTTGTTTGGTTTATTATTATTATGTTATAGCTTTTTTTAAAAGAAATCGCATCCAAATCCATCAAAGAAAAGTTAGGTTTATTCAGAGAAAGTACGTTTGTGTGTCTGATTTTATAATTTAAAATATCAGCTGCACTAGTTACATAGCATATTTGAAGTCACCCCCACGAACCATTAAGATTGAGTCCTAAAACTTGAAGATCTCATAATTAGATCAAAAGTTATTCAGGGATTTCCGTTATTTTGGTGCACTGTACAATTTTGTTACCTATGCATAAATCGACCCCTTGATTCTAGTAAAATTTTAGGGATTTAAAAAATCAAGATGTATGGTAATTATTACGAAATTTTGATTTTAATAGTTGACAGCTTCTAACTGAGATGTTATCAGTAAAAGTTTATTTTCCCAATTTTACTTTCCTTTTATATTTAGTTTTTATAGCATATTTGCAGTAATGGGAGAAAGCTAACAATTCCTATGACTTGAAAAATGTGTAATTGATTTTTATTTCAGGTTCATAGTGGTATCCATGGTTTTGTGAAAGATGCAAATGGTAATGGTTTATCGAATGTAACTATACATGTTGATGGAATAGATCATGATGTTATATCTTCCCGCTTTGGTGATTATTGGCGCCTTTTAGCTCCTGGCAAATATATGGTTGTTGCAAGTCTTGATGGGTATTAATTATGCTTTATATAATTTAGCTTACAATGTATGATTTATACTTGTATTTATTTTTTTAGTTCTGTTTTTTGCTTATTTCAATATCATTTTATTAATTTTTTTACATCAATTTAATTATTATTTTTCGTAACACTTCATAATTTGCTTATATATATATTTTAAATCTAATTTTTACTGCTTAGTTTTCATTAAACTGATTTTTTTATTTTTATGTTTGATTAACTATGTCTTATTAAAAAAAATTTCAATATTTTCCCTTTAAATGTCAAGTTTTTTTTTAGATGAAAGTCATATCTTTTTTTAAAAAATGATAGTTTTTAAAATTATAAATCCTTTAAGCCTTTTGAAAGATGCTAAAAAATAGCCTTTACTTTTTTTCTGAACTTTTTTTTCTCTTTATCATTTTGAGTTAAGAAATACAAGCACACAATATCTGATATTTTCATGAATTTACTTTATTTTAATGTGTAGCATTTTGTTCTAAAGTAGTACCAATTATTTGGTGGATTGCCTTAAGTTGCTGTTCTTGTTAATCATAACTAGTTTTACATGGGGCTATACCTGATACAAAAATTTATAAACTAACCAAAAAAAATTAAACAGGGCTTCCATGGGTCAGAAAGAACAGGGAAAACCTGGAATTGACAGGGAATTTTATTTTAACTCTAAAAAGCGGGGAATATTGAAGGAAAGTTGCATTTTTCTACAAAAAGCCTGGAAGACTCCTATATCATACCTGGAAAATAACCAATCTCAAAATTATCAGTAACTGTAATCAGTTATTGAGATTGGAGTTAATTAATTCTATCTATTACGATTATTCTATAAAATTCAACTTTTTCGGGAAACTTTTCCGTGTTTATTATTCCGTGTTATTCCTTATTCTATTATATGTTTTCGCTCATAAATTTAATATTTTACATTGCAAATATTCTGATTAAATTTTCTGATTAAAACTTGCATGGTGTAGATAAAATATGGAAAGAATTACCACTGTATTGAAATTTTCCTGCTATACCTGGAAAAGTTGGGGAATTTTTTTTTTCTGAAGATGAGTTAAAACCCTGTTAAAATCTAAAACAGGAAGAAAATTTCAGACATGAATTCTTTTTTATGAATCTCCAGCAAGAAAGCTTTTTCAGAGGGGAATTGAGCATTGTTACAGTTCTTACTACTTTAGAAGACCTTGTTTTTCTTGGCAAATTTAAGACTTTTCAAGTGTCCATTTAGGAGACTTGACAAAAAAGTCTCCTCTACCTTTAAAAGTAGTAGAAACTCCTGGCAGATTGCCACTCTACTCTTGAGTTGGAGAAATGAGTAAGAGGAGAATTTTTGCCATAGAACCAGAACTGAACACTCTCAAGTTTTTACATATTTTAAAAGGAAAAAAAAGCACAGAAGTAGATTTCTGATTCCTGTTTAGGGCTGCCAACTTTCAATGCTTTTTGGGGAAAATTTCCAGTATTATTCTCTAAGTTTATGTCTTGACGTATGATTCGTTGTTTTGTAAATTTGATTTGAAGTTATATTCGGCACCACTATATTTAAATAATTCAAAAGTTTATACAAAATGCCACTTTGTTCCACCTCTATCATAGTATGGCTTTTAAAATGTTGGCAAAATTATCAAATATTTTGAAAACTTTTAGTTTTTAAATGCTTACCACTCTATAAAATATTTTGAAAAAAGCATAGTAGTTGGCGATTTTTTCCTTTGGCTTACAAGGAAATCTTGTAATTGCAATAGGTCTATAACTCTCATGTGAGCCAGCTGAGAAATTAGTTGATTCGACTTTAATTGTTGCTATCCAACAGGTTTGCAGCAATCCTCTCATTAGGGGCATTTTGTCTATGATCATCATAAACGGCTATTGTACTACTCTCCTTTTCCCGTGAACCAGAAATCGTCTTTTAAATGGAACTACTATCAAAGCTACAAAAAAAAGTAAAACACTTTTGTACAGTCAATTGTTTTCTAAGGGGTCGTGAAAGTTAAGGCTTCACAATTTAAGCCAACGCCATGATGGTGACCATGTGGTCATCATTAGGAACAGAAACCTTTACTTCCTAGGCTGTCAGCCATTCTATTTTGAAGGTGGGTATGTTTCAAAAATAGAACCCAGAAGTGAATGGGATTGAACCTTAACCCTACACGATGAGAGTTCAGTACCTTAACTACTCTGACATTACCTTAGTATTACTTAAAATTCCAACAATTGTTCATTATGATATTGTTTTTTTCTACCTTAACTAAAGTACGCAAAATTTGCAATTATTATCAAGATTAGTTAATTAAACATTCATTTTTCCTTTTGAATCTTTCTATGGCAATGTTAATGTATATTAATAAATATCTTTCATTTTGAAACCGTGTATGTTCTCTCATTATATGTTTTGTTATTTGTCATCAAAGGTAATGGCACATTATTTTGTTTGAATTTATATTGATGATCACCCAACAGGTATGCCCGAAGCACTCTTCAAGTCGTTGTTCCAGATGATGTGCAAGGAATTCAATTGAACTTCACTCTTGATAACAAGTTTTTTGAGTGGTCGGAGAAAAATGATTTTGGTATTTTAGAAAACATTGACGACAATTATGTAGATTTCATGGAACTGCACAACCAGTTATTAAAGCTATCCTCAGAAAATAAAGCTCTCGTAAAACCGATGGCCAACTTTGGTAGAAATGGATTAAAAGCCTTAAATTTCATAATTATATCCTCAGAGGTAACTTTCAAAATCTTTAAATTTATAAAGCAATTTTGAATGATTAAAAAAAACAAGCATATTAAAAAGTATTAACTTTCTTAAGAAATCATTAATTTTTTGTTTCAGTTTTTAACCTATATCTAAAAAATTAAAATTAATGAATAATTCTATGTATTAGAATTTAATATTATTTTCAGATAGGCAAAATTTATTGTATTAGTTTTTTCATAACTTTAATGAACTCGAAGAGCGTATTTGCTAAAAGGTGTTATTTTATATTGCAAGAAATAAAAAAAAAACTTATTTAAAATGTATTAATTATTTTGTCAGAAAATAATATTCTAGAAACGTTTTTAAATGATCTGAATGACATTGAAACTTGGTTAATTTTTATTTTGTAGTTTTCTGCCGAAAAGTTTCTTATTACTATTTCCTTTATATAAAGCTTTAACTTCAATGCTCATCAACGTTTCATAACCTTTATGTAAAAAAATATCTGCTGCATTTTCAGTCATATTACCTAGTTATAAGTAATAAAAATTTGTTTCAGGTTGAAAAAAGTGATCATAAACGTAAAGTAGCTATTGTTGGTGCTCTTCATCGTAACCAACCCAGTGGAAGAGAGTTATGCCTCAGGCTCGCTCGTCATCTTGTTGAAGGTAAGCAACTTTTATAAGTTGAATTGATTGATGATGTTTTCTATGATAGAGGTTGCTGTAAACTATGATATAGTGTGTTACTATATTTATCTTTGTATATTCATTATTAGAAACTTTATTACTATCATTGAAAAATTCTTAAAAATGGTTCATAACAAAGACTAATGCACTAGTTAATATTTGTAAGAATGCAGTATCAAACACAGTATTAAAAAATTTACACTAATGAAACATCGGAGCTAAATCAAAATTTCTAAAACAGCAATTTCTTAAGACCTTTTTTTCATGAAATAAAAACATAAATTTCTTAAAATAATGTGGATGCTTAACCAAATGAAGCTGAACACAGGTGGTGTTAGTTAAAATTTGTAATACTACTGGATACTACTTCCAATTTATTTTTATGGCTAAGCATAAAAGCACAATATCCTATAATGTAACTGTACTATTTACTTTTCCATTTTGTAAATCCATTAACCATACAAAACTGAAGGTAGCACTCAAAACATTGCAACTCATACACTTTATTCAGGCTGTGATATTAACTTTTCTAAATAGATTTATGGATTTGGATTTCTTTAAATTTATAAAATACTATAATAATAACTCTTGCTATAATATCAAGCCTGTTTATGCATTGTCTCATAAACATACCTTAAATGAAAGTAAACACTAGGAGTTCTCTAGATTCTATTCCAGTTTGTGGATTTTGTCATTGTGTACACTCAGTTAACCATTTCATTTGAAAATTATTAGGATTAAATGAAAAAAATGTATCTTTTATGCATAATAACAAATTTGTATTCAAAGCTTTTGTTATTTAAGTGATGTGTTTTTTAACAACTAAATTAGCTTTTCTAGAATATTGCCTCATCCTAAAAAATCCAATTTAATTTACAGCTTGCAATGGCTTTCTAGCCATGAGTAGGTTTTAAAAAGTATTTTTTTTAATGTAATGATTACAAACTGCTTTAAGCAACAAAGTCACTCATTTAGGAGAAGAGTTATGCTGGAGGATGCAATTTACACTCAAAAAAGTTTAAGATTTATAAAAAAATAGTTTTGAATAACAATTTTAAAGCAATTTCTACATGGCAATTTATAAAAAATTATCTATTCATGCTTATGAGCCAGTTTTTCAATATATATTATTTGTTTTTGCATTTTTTCTTTCAACCTTCGATTTCTATGCCTTTTTTGACAGCAAGATATTTAATTAAAGAAATACTTCTGATTTTGTTAAAGCTCTTTAATTTCCTTTAAGAATTGAGAGCTACAGAGTAAAATATGTAGCTCTCAATTGAAATAACATGCACACATTCTTCTAATTTTGATCATGAGTGTAGAGTCACATTTGAGGGTATGAAAAAGAAGTAAGAAAAGTTGCAAATCATTTGAGGGTCGAAAAAAGTTTCAACTGCAATAATTTCATCACTTATAGCACTTTAGCTCCAATCACTGACAAGTGTTATAATATTTAATGTTATTAAACTAGTATTGCTTTTAACTCTAATTATGTTATTTTCAGGTTATAAACAAAAAGATCCTAAAATTGTTAAATTATTGGAGGATTTGGCAATACACATAATACCTTCTGTGGATAACAGAGAATTTGGAAAGTCACATCCCAGAGAAAAAAATACATCAAATGACTTAGATTTTGGAGATAAATTTGGGGATGATTTCGAGGGAGTGTTTGCACCGGTTGAAGGCTTAAAAAATAATCTTAACTCTTATCATTATTCTTCATTAATAAGTATTGAAGAAGAAGGTTTAGAAATGAGGTACTACACTATTATATTCTAAATATGTGCGTTATTTGTTTTTAGCTGAGATATTTTTAATTATTTGTATTTTTTATTATTTTAGCTGATTTTTGTAACAACTTTTTTATTTTTAAACATAATTTCGTTTAAATGTTTTTTCTGTGATTATATTTTTCATTGTAGTGCATAGTCACTTACATATAATTTTTAAATTTTTTTAATACTTATCCTTGTTGTTGGATTTTTGTAACAGAGTGTATTTTCATGGTAAATTTAAGCTTAGTTTAACATTTTATTTTGCTATTCAGCGTATAATTTTTTTTATATATTGTTTATTTTCAATTCTCCCTACTTATCATATTGACTTATTTTTATAATTATATTTATTTATGCTTAAATAAATATTTATATTGCATTTTATAACTAAACTTTTTTGAAAATTTTCATTTTATGACTTTTTTTTCTTTAAAGCTATTTTTTTTAATAATTGCCCTCATTTTATTACCCATTAAATGATTAGTATATTAAGAAATGTATTGCATAAAGTTATCAAATAGTTACATCTTTAATGCCATTATTTGTTATTTACCATCAGCTACATTTGATTGTCTACTTACCTCATTCTTTTCATCAAACGTTGAATTTTTTAATAAGAATTAGGAAGCTCCAGAATTTTGCAGAACTTCAGATGCCAACCTAGACTGCTCACACAGTTCTTTTCAGATCACTTCACTCACTTAATTAAATATTCACTTTAGTCTTATTTAATATCCCAGCTTATATACTTAAGAAAAAATTTTAAATTGATAAACTTAAAAATTTCTGTAAGTCATTTAATCAGATTAAAGCTAACTCTTAAAGGTGGATTTTCTGATTTCAATAACATAAAGAAAAATATTTTTCTAGTTAACTTTCAAACATCATTGATTAAATAACTTAACATCTCATTTGCTTCTTCCATTGAATATTTTTTTTAATTTTTTATCCTTGTTCATTTTTTATCCCATAAAAATTTTTGAAATAATATTTCTGCAATTCATTGTAAGGTAAAATTTAGAAAGAACTCTATAGCTTTCCGCTTCAAGTTATTCTTTTAGACTTATTGCATTGCAATAAAATTTTATTAGTAAAGGCGGTGTGTCATGTTTGCTGTACTTTAAATAATTTATCCAACTTTTTATTTATCTTTGAATTGAATCTTTTTATTTATCTTTGAGTGAAAGGATTTAACTTTTATCACAGTAAAATACTGTGATAAAAGTTAAATCCTTTCCTATGAAAATAAAACTTTTTCTAAAAAATATTTATTGTTCTAAAGCAAATATAATAATCAACCTGTTGATTTTTATTTGATTTTTGAGAGAATAATTATACTTTTATAAAAAAAAAATTTTATAGAAGGACTAATGAAGAGCATTCAAAGTAGGTAACTAAAAAATGCCATCAAATACTGTGATAGGAGTTAAATTCTGTTCTATGAAAAGTTACTTTTTAAAAAATTTTTTATTATAACTAAAGCAAAAATAATAATCAACATGGTGATTTTTATTCGATTTTTGAGATAATCATTATACTTTACTTTATGGTAGTTTTTTTAAAAGTTAAATGTGATATTATGGTGTTATAGATTTTGTTTTATTAGTCGATAATGTTTTTAATTTTAAAATATTTAAAACTGACTATAAAAAGCTTATTTTCATCACAAAGTTTAACTGCAATTTTATTTTGTGTCAACTAAAGCCATTCAGCATTATTCTTATCTGCTTTTATAATTAAATGCTTGTATGCTTTATTTTGCTTTATTTATAAGATAAAAAACTACACTAATATAAAATATATTTATGTAATTGCATTTATTTAATAAAACTGTTGTGAACCAGTTGAACAAGGCACATCAAGCATTATTTGTAAAATAAGATAAAAAATTTAATTTTAAATAAAAAGAAAAATGCAAGAACATCATCCCTTGTATAGGAACCCTGCAGCATAGCAGCCGGCACTGCAGACTATCACTACATTTTTCTTTTACAATCGTGCTATCCTTTTTCACCTCAGATTTCTTTTTAAAAATTGCTAAAATAATTTTTAAAAAATTAAATACAGTAAATATTATGTTGGGAGAAAGATGTAAATAACTGCAGCAGGTTGGAAATTACTCATTTGGTACTCATAAATATTTTCACAACTCTCAAAAACTTTTAAAATTAGTTTGCAGTTATGTATGAAAATTTATGCTTTTTCAATATCTAATTATTATTTTTTTAGTTCACGTGACTTTTTAAAACAAAAAAAAATGGAAAGTCATTTCCAGTACTATATAAAAGTTTATTGCATTTTTTAAAAAGTTATAAATTCCTTTAAAAATATATTTATAATATGAAAAATTCAAATTATATTAACATAAATTTTTTTTGTATAATTTTCATTTTTTCTTTGCAGTTTTACATTAAGCCTAATTTTTCTATAAATTTTTTTTCTGTCTTGGGCTCAAAAAAAATTGAATTTAATAAGATTGTAATTCAGACTGATTCAATAAATTCAGCCACCAGAAATTAACCCTACTTAATTAAACATTTGCTCAATAGACTATCCACTTTTGCCAGTTTGTGAAGTTGGGTTGTAACCATAAGTAATTAATATCTTCAAAGATTATAAACATTGAATTTTATTACTTTTTTATATTTTCTTTAAGCTAGGCTAGTTTTTTTTTGTTGCCATAATTAAATGAAATATTAAGATTGCTGTGTGTTTAATTCATAGACTGTAAGTCGCATGATTAATGAATTACAGATTTAGGTTAAGTTATTTAGAGTTCCTGTTCATCATTTTAAAATCAATTACCAGTGTTGTTATTTGAGACTCGTTTTTTTTTATTTATACAAATTATTCTATACCAAATTACTAATCAAAATATATAGAACTAAAGTTAAACATCTTTCAAAATTTTAAATGTAAAATAAAGCATTCCTGCAACATCATGTTGTGGGTCAGGAGGAGGTTATGGAGGTTAAAATTCTATAATTTATCATCACCACAGACATGAAATATTAAGAATATATCAATTATTTTATTTTATAGATTAAACCCAAAACTATAAATTTTAGTTCTTTTAACTATTATTACCTTTTAATAATTCTTTATTTGAATTAAATGTTTGACTTACAAGTTTTTTGTAATTATAATTGATTATGTTGAAGCTTACCTCAAAGCATTGAAAATGATGTTTTGGATTCTGCGACCTTCAGTGATTTATCCAGGGCATTTGTTCAGAACCACCCTCTTTTATCTAAGGCTTCAATGTGTGGAGAACAAACTTCATTAAGTCCATCTGATCTAACAACTAATACTCTATTGGATTATGCTTTTACTAAGCATGGAACTATTGCAGTATGTATTTATGATTATACTATATCTTTCTGATTTTGTATTACTATATCTTTCAATTGATATGCTTATTTAACAAAATGTTTGCGCTCTAAAATGAATTAAAATTTTATTTTATCTTTTGGATATTTATTCTGGACACTGGTCATGATTAAAATTTTGATTATGTAAACTTCTATTTGTTTTTTGAGTAAATTTTTCTCTTTATTATAAATCTCAGACAATTTTGTTTGATGTTTCAAGTAGAGGGTTAAATATTTGTCATTTTCTTAGTATATGGTACATATGGATGATATTTTCAATATAAATGTAAACAAAAGCAAATCTCAATCTCTGTACCTTCACAATTTCCATTTAGAAGGTTAAGAGCTACTTACTACAACTTATTGTTCAAGACAACATTTTTAAGCAGATAATTTTATTTTCAAAAAAGGAAATAAATAATATACCCTCTGAGCACAAATCTGCTGCATTTCATAAGATATTAATATTATTAAGCAATTCTAAAAGAAATTAAGAGAATTTTTTTAATACTTCCATTGCCCACCTGAGTTAACATTTTGTCAATTCCGGCATATTTTTCGGCCACTCTTTCAGGGGCACCATATTAGGTGGGCCAACGTTGTTTCCACAGTAAGGACAGATAGTACAGAGAATGAAAGAACATCCATGCCTTGCACGGGATTCGAGCCCAGAACCTTTCCAATGCTAGGCCAGTACTCTGACCCCTACACAATTAAGGAAAAGGTTAAGGGAAAATTTGTCGTAGCTATTTATATAGTATATATTGTTAAATAAAGCAATAAGTTTGTTATATTTTGAATAAACTNGAATTTATTTGGTGTTGTTCTTGTTCTGCGGTAAGTGCAAAATTTTCACTAGAATGTTTATCTTGATTTTCAAATGCACAATGAGCGTTATTGTTTTTGATTTTGTTCATGCCCGATTTATAGTTCGAAAATGTTCTTTTTTCTTGAGATGTTTGGTTTTGATTTCCCTCGTTCTTGTTTCGGAAATAGCAGTCTTTAGCTAGGTGATTCGTTTTATGGCAGATGAAACATTTCTTCCTGATTCTATTTTCATTTTTATGTCTTACTCCGAATGCTTCTGTTCGTCTGGGAATATCATTTCTTAATTTTGATAAGATGTTTTCTTCCTCGCGCAGTATTTCTAAAATTTCCTCCATTTGTTTTGCGTTGGGTTTTTAGGATTTCCCTTACTTTTGCAAATTTTCCTCTTAATCCTCTAACAGTATAATAAACAAGTTCTCTTTCAGAAATTTCCAGTCCAAGTGATGAACATTTCGTTTTAAGTCCTCGTGATCTTGCAATATAGTCTGACACATTTTCATTTTCCTTCATTTCAAGATTTTTTATTTCGTTACTTGCATCGATTTTTCGATCTTCGGTTTTACCAGTAAATGTGCTTTGAATTTTTTCCCATAGAATTTTTGCGTTAGTTTCGTTTGCGAACTGAAGACTTTGGTCATCAGAAAGCGATAGTTGTATGTATGCAACTGCGTCATCATTGTTTAATGTCCATTGTTCCCGCAACTTTGGATTAACGGGGGCTTCTTCAGTTAGCACATTAGCTATTTTCTTAAGTGTCAGCAAAGCCTTGACTTTAATACTCCACTGGTGGAAGTTATCACTGTTCAGCAGTGGGATACTCGGCAGATCCCTGTTCATTTTGATTTTGGAATCTAAACGATGTAAATTACGGCGAAACTAAGTGAAACTTTTTACTGCGTCATAATTTTCAAAACCACAGCCGTGCTGCCAACTGTAGTCCGTGGATCGAGATTTAGACAGAAAGTAAAAGTTTATTAACAAAAAGCAAACAAACACATACAAATTTAAAAAGAACGCCATCTGGCGGTATAAAAAGAAAAAGACTTCGTAGCTATCCTTCCCAGGGAATGACAACACTTTATTTATAAGATAAAAAACTACACTATAAAATACATTTATGTAATTGCATTTATTTAATAAAACTGTTGTGGACCAGTTGAACAAGGCACATCAAGCATTATTTTAATGCCATTGTGAAATAAGATAAAAAATGTAATTTTAAATAAGAAGAAAGGTGTAAGAACATCACCCCTTGTATAGGAACCCTGCAGCATAGCAGCTGGCACTGTAGACTATCACTACATTTTTCTTTTACAATCGCTCTATAATTTTTCACCTCAGATTTCTTTTTTAAAATTGCTAAAATAATTTTTAAATAATTAAATACAGTAAATATTATGTCGGTAGAAAGATGTAAATAAATGCGGCAGATTGGAAATTACTCATTTGGTACGCATAAATATTTTCACAACTCTCAAAAACTTTTAAAATTGGTTTGCAGTTATGTATGAAAATTTATGCTTTTTAAATATCTAATAAATTTTTTTAGTTAACGTGACTTTTTAAAACAAAAAATTAGAAAGTCATTTCCGATACTATGTAAAAGTTTATTGCATTTTTTAAAAAGTAATAAATTCCTTTAAAAATATATTTATATTATGAGAAATTCAAATTATATTAGCATAAATTTTTTGTGTATAATTTTCATCCTTTCTTTTCATCTTTTTTTTTTTTGCTATTTATACGCATGTTATATTAAGGCTAATTTGTGTATACATTTTTTTTCTGTCTTGGGCTCACAAAAAATTTAATTTAATAAGATTGTAATTCAGACTAATTTAATTAATTTAGCCATCAGAAATTAACCCTACTTAATTAAACATTTGCTCAATAGATTATCGACTTTTGCCAGCTTGTGAAGTTGGGTTGTTACCATAAGTAATTAATGTCTTTAAAGATTATAAACATTGAATTTTATTACTTTTTTATATTTCCTTTAAGCTAGGCTAACTTTTTTGCCATAATTAAATGAAATATTAAGATTGCTGTGTGTTTAATTCATAGACTGTAAGTCGTATGATTAGATAATTACAGATTTAGGTAAATTTATTAATTACAGATTTAGGTAAATTAATTAATTACAGATTTAGGTAAATTAATTAATTACAGATTTAGAGTTCCTGTTCATCATTTGTAATCAATTACCAGTGTTCTTATTTAAGACTCATTTCTCTTTACTTATACAAATTATAATTTATACAAATTATATTTCTATACATTAAACAAAATATGTAAGACTAAAGTTAAACATCCTTCAAAATTTTAGATGTAGAATGCAAAATAAGGCATTCCTGCAACATCATGTTGTCAGTCAGGAGGGGGTTATGGAGGTTAAAATTCTACAAGTTATCATCACCAAGGACATGAAATATAAAGAATATATCAATTATTTTATTTTATAGATTGAACCCAAAACTATAAATGTTAATTCTTTTAACTATTACCTTTTAATAATTCTTTATTTGAATTAAATGTTTGACTTACAAGTTTTTTGTAATTATAATTGATTATGTTGAAGCTTACCTCAAAGCATTGAAAATGATGTTTTGGATTCTGCGACCTTCAGTGATTTATCCAGGGCATTTGTTCAGAACCACCCTCTTTTATCTAAGGCTTCAATGTGTGGAGAACAAACTTCATTAAGTCCATCTGATCTAACAACTAATACTCTATTGGATTATGCTTTTACTAAGCATGGAACTATTGCAGTATGTATTTATGATTATACTATATCTTTCTGATTTTGTATTACTATATCTTTCAATTGATATGCTTATTTAACAAAATGTTTGCGCTCTAAAATGAATTAAAATTTTATTTTATCTTTTGGATATTTATTCTGGACACTGGTCATGATTAAAATTTTGATTATGTAAACTTCTATTTGTTTTTTGAGTAAATTTTTCTCTTTATTATAAATCTCAGACAATTTTGTTTGATGTTTCAAGTAGAGGGTTAAATATTTGTCATTTTCTTAGTATATGGTACATATGGATGATATTTTCAATATAAATGTAAACAAAAGCAAATCTCAATCTCTGTACCTTCACAATTTCCATTTAGAAGGTTAAGAGCTACTTACTACAACTTATTGTTCAAGACAACATTTTTAAGCAGATAATTTTATTTTCAAAAAAGGAAATAAATAATATACCCTCTGAGCACAAATCTGCTGCATTTCATAAGATATTAATATTATTAAGCAATTCTAAAAGAAATTAAGAGAATTTTTTTAATACTTCCATTGCCCACCTGAGTTAACATTTTGTCAATTCCGGCATATTTTTCGGCCACTCTTTCAGGGGCACCATATTAGGTGGGCCAACGTTGTTTCCACAGTAAGGACAGATAGTACAGAGAATGAAAGAACATCCATGCCTTGCACGGGATTCGAGCCCAGAACCTTTCCAATGCTAGGCCAGTACTCTGACCCCTACACAATTAAGGAAAAGGTTAAGGGAAAATTTGTCGTAGCTATTTATATAGTATATATTGTTAAATAAAGCAATAAGTTTGTTATATTTTGAATAAACTCGCTATTTTGGCAGTCCTGATGAAGGTTCTTTTGGACTTGTTTATTATTTTGGACTTGTTTGTTACTATTTGTTCTTGTTGCAAGCAATCCACTATTCATACGTTAGTGTTAGCATTTAGTTAAAGTAGCAAGACAAAATTTATTTTGCAACTTGTCATTGAGATTTAAATTTTGAAGTAAGTATATTGTTGACAAAATAATAAGCATTTAAAACTCATTCAAATAACTTATAACTTATTCAAATATTACGTTTTTATTAGATCTCAAACCACATTTTTACTATATTTTAGACATTTATGTTCATTATTATATAACTATCTGTACTATTTATAGTCATTTCATCATTTAATGTGTTCACTGTTAAAATCCTGATATTTTTAATGCGATATTATTATGAGTTTTGAATAGCATAATTTAAAAATTACTTTTTACTTGCTTTATTTTTGCCAATTTCGTTGTCAATCCAAGTTATTTATCTTTCTTTTTTTTTTGCTTTTCAGTTTTTGCTATTTATACCACATGTTTTTATTTTTTTAAGTCTTGATATTTTTAATACAATATTAGAATGTGGGTTAACTCTTTACTGTTTTTCACCTTGTTTTCTAATTTTTTTGCACCTTAAGAAGTTCCTAGCATTCATACAATCTCTTATTTACTAAATATAAGTGTTCTGAACTTAAAATTATATTCCCAACCCATTGTTTAATCTTATTTTGGGCTATAATGCATTTGTTTTATTGTATATTATTTTAGAACCCATGAAACTTCTGAAAATATTTAATTTGCATTTGCAATAAATAAAAATAATCATTGAAATGAAATAATATTTCAATAAAATAGTTATTTATTTTTTGCATTTATTCTATGAACATTACAGTTAATTTATTTTAAAATAAACTTTTGTATTATATGATGTGATAAAAAACCATTAAATTGTATTTTTCTCTGTATAAATTTAGTTTTGCTATGAAGGAAATTTTTTTTGAAAGGTATCAGTTCGATATTTTTTAGTTTTGAGTTTTAATATTTAAAAGCATTTAATTTCATTCAAATATATCACTAAGTTGAGTGATAAAAAGTATTTAATGTAATAAATACTGACGTTTATATAAAAATTGCCACTATTGCCAGCAACATGACTAAATACTTGGGCATGCAATTTTTCATTAGACAACCTTCTGTACAAGTGCCCTTTATTCAAAAAGGATTTGCACTCTTATAATAGAAATGTTTGATTTTGAAAGGATGCATGAAAATTATATTAATCAATCATATGAAAATCATATTAAATTCTTATTATTTTACCCAATTCCTGTCAGTTTTTTGCTTTTACTTTGGTTTCCTTTTATAAAATTGTCCTGATTTGTGTATGAATATTAATAATATTTATGCTACTTCAGGGTTCCCACGGTCCTTGAGAGTCCTTGAAAGTCCTTGAATTTTTTTTTGCTAAATTTAGGTCCTTGAAAGTGCTTGAAAAACGTCTTAGGTCCTTGAAAAACTTGATAGGTCCTTGAATTTGTCCAATACTGCCGGCGGCCCTTTTTATAAAACACCCGCGGATCTTTCTGTTTNACACATTTTTTTTAATGAGAATAACTTCTTTCAGCTATCTGATAGTTTTTTTTTTTATCATCATATAATTTATTCAATTTTATTTACTTTGTAGGTTGCAGCTCATATAAGTTGTGGTAACAATCCAGATCCTAGTGTTCTACCAGAATTATGGCGCAATAATCTGCGTTCACTGATTAGTTTTCTTCAAGCATCCTCTGAAGGTATTTTATTCAACATTTAGATAATTTTAATACCTAATTTCTTTAATTTTCTTTTAAGTGATTATACAAATTGATGAGTTTATTTTTGAATGGTCGGGGGTTTTTTTATGCAAAGAAAATAATAAGTAAAGAAAGTTTGGCCGTATTTTTTTAATGTGTTATAAGTTTTAAATTTTGAAATCGTTTTAACATTTCTCAAATAATTTTTACTTGTCTGTTAATTGTTTTCTATGAGCAAAATTTTAATAAAGGATTAATACTTCAAGGATTATTACTACGATTTTATAACGTTCTTTATACAATTATATTATCTAGTATTATTATTATATCCCTTTCATTTTATAATGACTGTTATAACATTTAGTCTGTTTATCAATTATGAACAGCAGATGTAGCAGAATGATTGAACCATGCAAAATATTTTTAAATAAAAAGAAATAAGAATTGCAAGTAGAAGGAATTGTTAGATCTTTAAGTTATGTTAATTATTTGAATTTTTGCTTTAACACTCTTCAGTTACGGAATTTATTTTTAAAAAAAAAACTTTTATGTAATTTTTTTTATTTATTTTTACTAAATAGTATATGCATCATCAAAATCTAATATTGCAGATCTAATTTATAATAGGTATTAAGTTATACTTTATTCCAATTACCACATTTTAACTTCTATAAAAGGTATATTTAAAAAAAATTCTAAGTATTCCTTATAATTTTTTGAGTTTTTTGATTTGTTGTTTTATAAACAGAAAATGTTACATACAGAGTTCTAATATAATTGTTTACAGATGAACATCACAAAAGATAAATGAAGTAAAAATATCCTTAACAATCCACTTCCACTATTACTGTATTAATCAAACTTTCAATATATCTAAATAAAATGACTTATGCTTTTTTTTTTTTTTTTGTATTTAACACTTACGGAAATTTGTATTTAACACTTACGGTTAATTTTTTAGGAGCATATCTTCTTTCTTAGGAACTATATAGGCAGAAAAAAGTAAATTAAATTTTTTCTGATAATCTTGTGACCACAGTTCTAATTCGAATTATTTGGTTACTGTAACTGAACTAATAATTTATATCTGTCATTTAAGTTATCAAAACACAAGTTGCATGTTTATCTATGAAACATGCTTTACACAAATAGTGTGGGAATAATTTATGCTTTATTGGCATTATTTTAATATTTAGTTTTCCAGATTTTTTCAGGAAATTAAATTATATTGAGGCATACATTTAAACTAAGTCTGTTTTAGGTTTTGTGTAATTTAATTAAATGGCCATTTTATTTCAGGTGTTGTTGGCCACATTAAAAGTAATGATGGTTATCCTCTTCCCAATTCATCTGTACATTTACTTGGGAAAGAAAGACTTATACCTGTTGATTCGACTATGGGTTTTTACAGCGTTATCTTGCCTGCAGGGCAGCATATCTTAAACTGTGAGTTATTTCTTTTTATAATAATATCAATTAACTGTAGCACAAATATAATTTTTTTTTATTTTTAAAAGAAAGCAGCAAAATTCATCATGCTTGATTTCTTACAGAATGAGACAAAAATCAGCTGTGCAGAGTTCTTATAGCTAATTATTAATTGTCTTCAAGTAATTGTTACAGTTAATTCTTAGAGTTAATTGCCGAAATAATCAGAAAGGAATATGCTCTTACCTGAAAAATGGAAATTCCATTAATGGTGGTAAAATATTTCTTTAATTTTTTGTACAATTAAGCAANTTGATTCTTAATCCCATCTTAATGGCTTCCTTCTCCAGACATAAAAAGGATTGTGGTAGTGCTGTCTGCGTTCTAGCGATAATATCTAAATCATCAGCAAAAGCCAATATTTGAACTGATTTGTTGAAGATATTTCCTCGGGTGTTGATGTTTGAGTCCCTTACTATTTTTTCTAATGCTAGATTAAAGAGAAGACATGCCAAGGCATCTCCCTGTCGTACATCATTTCTAATTTCTATTGGATGGGAAAGACTATTCTGTATCTTGACCATGATTTTGGTTTCACTTAGTGTCAAGCTAATCAAAATCTCTTTGATAAAAAGGCAAATATATGTGCAAACATTTGAAAGGTTTTAAAAACAAGAGAAAATTTTGCCACATTTGTAAAAACTAACAAATTTGAAACCATTTTTCATTGAGTGGTACTTTTTTATGATTAAATTGGATTGATAAATCTAGTTAGAATTTTTTATTACTTAAACTTTTAAGATGTGTTTGTTATAATATTAAAATTTTATGCTATTTACAAGGTATAATTTTTGAGAAGTTAGTTAGAATTTTTTATTACTTAAGCTTTTAAGGTGTGTTTGTTATAATATTAAAATTTTATGCTATTTACAAGGTATAATTTTTGGTAAAAGAAATTTAATGCCTTAGCATTGCTCATAATCTTATTTCTTGTCAGCTAATTATGAACCTTTTCCTTAAGCTGCTTACTTAATTTTTGTGAGAGGATCCTTATTCTTTAAATGTATTTGTTTCTATATATTTTAATGGAGCTGTATAATTTGAAAGTTCTTTCATTTCAGATGCTTCTCCTGGCCATGAGAATGTCAGTAAATCAATTAATGTTGAAAGTGGGAAATTAATCAATCTTGATGTGGTTTTAGATACTGTTATTTCTCAAGTTTCACTTACTGACTATTCTAAAATTGAAAAATCATTAAAGGAAATAAAAAATATTAATCCTAGGATAACAAAAATTTACAGGTAAAAATTTTACTCAATTTAAATGGATTTATTTAATTTTGCTTGTGTTACTAAAGTTGAAATATATGTCTCTATATTTGGAATAAAATGTTCTGTAAGTCACATAATCTGTTACTTCATTTAATTTTAATTTAATTTTGAATTGTAATTTGTTGTTGTATATTCATATTTTTGTTTAATTAATGTTTTGAGATAATTCTATGTGTAATTTATTATTTGTTATAATTATATGAATTTTTATTGTGATCAAAAATATCCAGTACATTTTAAATCTGAATTTTTCTTTGTTTTTTATAGCCTAGGTGAGAGCAAGAACCATAAGCAATTATGGGTACTGGAAATTAATAATCATGATAAGGAGAATTTACAATTACCTGGTATTAGATTTATGGCTGGCTTAAATGGTTATGAACCTGTGACAACTGAATTACTTATTCAGTTAGCAAAATATTTAGTATCTTTGTATGAAAAAGACACTACCATAACTGATGTAAGCTATTTTTTTTACTTTTTGTAACAAGATAAAAATGCTCAATAGAAATGTAAAAATTATGATTAGTATTCAAACAATTGAGTAAGACATTTAATTATATATTTATTTCACTTATTAAATACCATTTAATATTTCATGCACAATTTATTTTAAATATACATTTATTGTAATTTCAAAATATAAACATAATGTAAATATTTTATTAAGTGTCTCTGATGTAATTTTGTATTTTGTTTAGTTAATAAACAGAAGGGTGATATATATAGCACCTCTTTTGAACCCAGACAATATTCTAAAAAACGAACTAACAAATTGCTCTCTTGGAATGACATCAGCAAGTGCCAGTCTAATTACTAATTTTCTTGGTAAGTTTTAAACTTAATTCATACTTCTAAAATTTATATTATTACTTTTTTATTTTTGATTTAATGAGTTTGATAAGTTAATAAATCAAGAATTTTAATTATAAAATGGTTAATAAATAAAATTTATTTGCCATCATTTTTTGCAATGTTTTTTTTAAATTTCAAATGTAAAGTAGATACATTTAAAAAGTTCAGTACAAGTTCCCCTGGTTAAATAATTGCTTTAAATGTGATGTTTCTCCTTTTTAAAGGGGATGGCAGACATAGGTCTCCCTACCATCTAAATCATTACGGATCACTTTAACACCATTAGTATGAAATGATGTGTCATGGCAAATTAAAAAAAGGGAACATCGAGATTTGCTTTAAATTAGACTAGATAGAGATGCTTGAAATGTTAATAAAAGTGTACTATGTAAAAGCAGTAAATAAAAAATGTGTTTACATAATTTAGAGATGTAAAGAAAAATGTTTAACATAACATGGGTGACAGGGTTTTATGTTACAATAACAGTACGGTTTCATGCAAAAATGGGGCTTTGCGTGATATTAAAACAAACCTATGCTGCAAAAAAAAACGAAACATCAACACAAATTATATACAACTGCTGTCAAAAGTGTATTGTGTAGCTTATGATGATTAATTTGAATGGCAGTAAAAGTATTTTGTTTGCATTTCCTAGTCTCTTTATTTTGTTCACCAAATATATTCAATATTCGGTGAATTTATTCTTTTTGAATTCACTCAATTTTTCAAACACACCTTAACAAAGTCATTATTTGATTTCTCTTTATTTTTAAGTCCTGTGATTAATTTTCTTGGGTTAGTGAGAAAATCACTAATTTCTGTATTGAGTGATATTTTGCATTGAATATTGTTTTCAAACACAATTTCAAGTTTTAATAAGAAATAATAACCTAAGTTTTGCAATCAAAATAAATCATATATAAAAAAAGACATTAAAAATTTTTAGTCAACTTTATCAAATGAAAACATAAATTAAATTTGATTGAAAATTTTTTAAAATAATTTGGACAAAAATTTACATTCCTCTCTCATCATTTGCAACAAAAAGTAATAAAACTATAGAATCTCATTAAGTTCTGTAGTTATAGTTTAGGATGAACTTGTTAATGAATGCTTGAAAATGCACTCTTGTGTATTTCCGTAGAAAAAATGAGTCATCATTTGTTCACTATGTTTTTCCCCATGTCTTTCTTCAAACTCTTTCTTTGATTTTTGCAATATAATTTATGAAAACCAACTAAACTTTGAGTCATCAGGTACTTAATTTTTCAAACATAGTTTCAGAATTTTACTTTTTTAATATTTAATATCAATGCAATTTTATTACGATTGTATTATTATTATTTTTTTTGTTACATCTATAGGAGAAGATGAAAGACCTGAGGTTAAACTCATTAAACAGTGGACTTACTCTAAACCAGCTATAATTTCTGCAGAATTATACTCTGGGGCAAAAGTTGTTGCTTTTCCTTTTCAAGATTCATCTGCTCCAAGTATGTTAATTATTGTATTTCGAAACAATTTCATAGAATTTCTTGACTTTCCTTAATTGTGAACTTAAAATAACTAAAAAAAATTTGGAATTTTTTATGAAGTTAAATTATAAGGTTATCTTCTTTAGTGATGCTCCTAGCCTACAGAAAAATATTAAAACATATACCAGAACTGGCAATAAAATATTGTAAAATAATTAGCACATTAAACTAACAATGGAAAAGGAATTTAGTCTTTCAACTTTATTTCACAAAAAGAGTAATAAAAATCTTTATAAATCAGAATACAAGTGATATAGTTAGGAAATTTCACTTTCCCACAATGGGATGTCTGAACGTGGAATATATCGTTATCACTTTCATTACATTCCATAGTAGATTTTGAATGACGTTACAGGTACTTTTTTTACAATTCTATTTATAAGTGGGTAAATTTTTTTTAAAAAAAAAGTTTTAACTTTTAAAACTTTATTTGTTATATCTGTAAGTTTTTTTTTCTCGATCTTTTATCTATGTAAATCTTTTCTTTAAGAAATTAGGGTAAACTATTGGGAAAAAAAAGATTTATAAGTAGGTTCGCTTACATTTTCAAATTTATATGAGGTCGAATTTTTTTATCTATATATACATGATATTTAAAACACACGATTAAAATTGCTTAGGTATCCATGCCCGGAAATGACTTCATACATCACTAGGGGAACTTATCGCCTATGAAATGTTCGTGTACCTCTAAACAAGTCATAATAGGGAAGCGCTCCTAGTGGCCTGGGACAACATTTCAGGGCATATGTTTCTATGCAATTTAAATTCCGGTGATTTCATATTTAAAATCCCTACATCCAAATTAGGCAAGGTCAAGTATTTGTATAAATGCAACATGAAGTTTGTTCCCAAATGTTATTGCTATCAAAAATGTTTTGGGAAAGATTAGATTTTCGTTACCCTGTCTAATATAGGTATAAAACCATGTGTATAAATAAATGAAAACCTATGTACAACGAAAACTGCAATAATAATAAACGTTTAGATAAATAAAGAAATTATCTAACTCGCTATTAGCAATTATTTGTAGAGAAAAAGAAGTTCTTTTAGTCTTTCAGAAAATCTTTTAATTACTTTTTTAAATATATATAAAACAATAAAATATATGAAATATTGTGAAAATGAATTATGTTTTTTGTTAACATAAACTTTATTAAGATTTTGGTACTTATCTAATCTTTGCTTATCATCTGGAGAATTAACCTTTCAGTTTTTCTGAAAAAGTCTGTCGTGATTTGTGTGAAAAACTTAAATTGGGGACAAAATTAAACATTTAGGTATCTATCAACAATTTCATATTATATTAAGAATACATTTGGCACACAGGTTCACGTGTAGTACATATCCAAGACTCATATCTAACACTTAATTGAACACTCTCAGTTTTTTTAATTGAAAATTAATCACTATTATTCTTTCATATTTGTACAAAAAACAATAATATGTTTAATATTTAAAAATATGCAACAGATATTTTTAAAATACATTCATATTTTGAAATGTATTTCAAAAAGGGAAATTATTTTTTTATAAAAAGAAATCCATCTGAAAAGATTATATAGATCAAAAAATAATGAGTGACACATTGGGACTTACGAGTTAAAAAAAAATCTTTAGTTAATTTTTCATTGATTATAAAATGAATTAAAGTAATACAAAAGAAATTTTCGATTGTGAACCTAAATTCCTAAATGATTTTTTATTTTTATAAAAATTCCCCTATTTTCATAAAATTATAAGACATATAACACTAAATTAAGAAGAATGAATGAAGAGTTCATTAAGGATGTAATGAATATTATGTGCTCTGAATATTGTAATTTGAAAATACACCTTTTTTTTAAATGAATATTTGTGCAAGTTTAGGGACACTCACATGTGGTGGTTTCCTTGTATTTAATTTCTTTCATTGTCATTGTATTATCTGGTATTTAAAGTACTCAGCGGGGACCAGAGTTCTTAATCCAAAGTATGGGCCTCATTACAGCAGTCAAAATGACTGATAAATCTTCCATCTTCAAACTACTCAATGTAATGACCATGAATAATAATCCAGAGATAAATTTTTTTTATATTTGCTGAAATATTGGCTTTGTTGAAACATTGACTTCAAGAATCAGGACAGAACCTGTTAAAATGACTTAGCGCAGTTTGTTCGCAAATTCAATGACGTCATCACCTCATATAGTATTTTCAATACATTTTTTAATTTCATTTAAATGTAGCTTTCAAAATCAAGTGTTGTTTTTTGCATTTCTGTTGTGGGAATAAAACAGTTAATTCATTTCTGTTATTAAATTACTCTTTCAGATGAGTATATGGCACAAGGAGATAAAAATGTGTTTGCAGACTTGGCCAGAGAATACAGCATGAATCATCCAACTATGCATTTAGGAAGTTTTACTTGTGCATCTCAAAGTTGTATGATATATATTAAATTTATATTATTACATTTATATTTATTAAATAAATATTAAATTTATTAATATTCGTTAAATTTTCTAGACAATTTTCCGGGTGGTATTGTTCAAGCTTCTAATCTACATAGCCACCATGGAAGTTATATGGTAAATTATTTGAAAATAAATTTTAAATTGAGTTCTATACATCTCATATGTGCATGTTCTGCAAGAAAAATATAATTTTGTTTCAGGATTATGTTTATAATAAAACAGAAGGCTATGACTTGGAAATATTTGCTGACTGTTGTGCTTATCACACACCTGAAGAGATGGCTCAGATTTGGTTAAATCACAAACCTCCATTGCTAAATCTTATAAGACAGGTAAAATATTTTTTTTCTTTTAATATGGATATTTTTCAATATAATATTTTTACTTAAGCTTAGTAGTTTAAAAATTAACTAACCATGCTTTTGCTCAATATTATTTGTCTCTTAAGGGCCCAATATCCCAAAACTACAAACAAACAACAACAAAAAATTTAAAATAAAAAGAAAGAATATTGTTTTTCAAAGTAACTAACATTTATACATTTATAAGTACTTAATTGCATTTAATAAAATTTAGTACTTATCATTTTATAAATACTTAAATGCAATGTTATGTATTTTATAATTTGAATACACCTTGTAACTTTTACGTACATTTAATATACCGAATAACTTTTAATTTTTATAATTTATAACTTTTAATATTTAATTATACTCAACACANTCCTCCCTCTGAAGTTTCTCTAAAAATCATTTCCTTGGGATAAAACTGGTTGACCTTTATACAGGGATGAGATTTTTCGTTTTTGCCTCTCGAATTTCAGCCTTTTTATCAAAAACTCCGATTGTCTAAAAGTTTCGTTTTTTTTTTTAAAATAAATATCCTGCTTTTTTTTTTCTTTCTTTTTTTTTGAAAATTCAGTCTTTGAAATAAAATAATTATATTTATTTACGATTTTCAAAGATAAACAGAAAATTGAAACTATGCCCTAGCTGCTAACCCTTCCGTATCTTTACTTATTTTAGCTATTTTCTCCGCTTTTAAACACAGAAAATAAGATTTTCTGTATTTTTATTCGTCCGCCGGATAGCTCGTATTTTCGCAATTCAGACATCGTGACCCGGTTGTCTGGCGTGAAAGCAAACAAAAAAATAATATAGACGTGGATTTGCGGTGAAAATATTTATTTGCTCATTCAATTAATCTTGAAAATTTCTATTTATTAGGTCTAAACAAAAACAATACAAACAAGCCTTTTAGAAATCCCAAGTCCAGACTCTGCAAATATCTCGATTGTTATTCACGCGATTTTAATAACAATCATCGATTTTCGTATTTACCTGATTTAAAAGTTGCGCATTGCGATTCTTATTTACGCCATTTAAACATCGTGCATTATGATTCTTATTTACGAGATTCAAAAATCCAATATCGCGTTTTGTATTTATGCATTTATAAAATCGCGATTTTATTATCAAACATCGATTTTCGTGTTTACCGGATTTGAGAGTTAAACATTGCGATTCAGCCGATTTAAATATTGTACATTGCAATTCTTATTTACGAGATTTGAAAATCCAATATAGCGATTTGTATTTATGCGCTTTTAAAACCCTATGTAGCGATTCGTATTCACGCGAGCTTAAAATCCAATGTCCTGATTCGCTATTGCGGTTGTAATATCAAACGTCGATTTTCGTAATTATACGTGCTTTAAAAATTAGACATTGTGATTTGTATTCACGCGATTTAAAAATTATGCATCATGATTCGTATTTATGTGATCTAAAAATTACGCATCATGATTTGTATTTTCGCATTTTTTAAAATTCGATATAGAGTTTCATATTCACGTGATTTAAAAGCCTCATATCGGGATTCATATTCATAGAATTTTAAAATTAATCATTGGGATTTATAATCACATGGCTTACAAGTTTAAAAATCCTACTTTTTTGTCAAATTTTTGTGTATATATATATTCTTTCATTCTTGGATTTCCTCTTTTTTACTTTCTGACTACTCTCATCCCTGCTTATGAATTGTTCGTGTACCTCTGAACAAGTCTTAATAGGGAAGCGCTCCCAGTGGTCTGGAACAACATTTCTGGGCATATGTTGCTATGCAATTTAAATTCCGGTGATTTCATATTTAAAATCCCTGCTTCCAAATTAGGCAAGGTCAAGTATTTCTATAAATGCAACATAAAGTTTGTTCCCAAGTGTTATTGCTATCAAACAATTTTTGGGAAAGATTAGATATTCCTTACCCAGTCTAATATAGGTTTAAAAAACCTTGTAAATAAATGAATGAAAACCTACGTGCAACGGAAACTACAACAATAATAAACGTTTAGATAAATCAGATAAATAAAGAAATTATCTAACTTGCTTTATTAGCAATTATTTATAGAGATTAGTCTTTCAGAAAAACTTTTAATTACTATTTTAAATATATATAAAACAATAAAATATATGAAATATTGTAAAAATGAATCATGTTTTTGGTTAACATAAAATTTATTAAGATTTTGGTACTTATCTAATCTTTACTTATCATCTTGGGAATTAACCTTCCTGTCTTTCTCAAAAAGTCTGTCATGATTTGGATGAAAAACTTAAATTGGGGATGAAATGAGAGTATTTTCAAAATTAAACATTTATATATCTATCAACAATTTCATATTATATTAAGAATACATTTGACACACAGGTTCACGCTTAGTACATATACAAGACCCATATCTAACACTTAGACTCATATCTAACACACTCAGTTTTTTTTTATTAGAAAATTAATCACTGTTATTCTTTCATATTTGTACAAAAAACAATAATATGTTTAATAGTTTAAAATATACAACAGATATTTTTAAAATACATTCATAGTTTAAAATGTATTACAAAAAGGGAAATTATTTTTTAATTGAAAAAAATCCATCTGAAAAGATTATATATCATAAAATAATGAATGACACATTGGGACTTAAGTTTAAAAAAATCCTTATTTAATTTTTTATTGATTAAAAATGAATTGCAAAAGCAATGCAAAAAAAATTTTAAATTGTGAACCTAAATTCCAAGTAATGTCTTATTTTTAAAAATTTTTTAATCTGTTTTCATAAAATTAAAAGACACAACACTCTAAATTAAAAAGAATGAATGAAGAGTTCATTAGGGATGTAACGAATATTATGTGTTCTGAATATTGTAATTTATTTTGTTGAAGATAAACTTTTTTTTTTTTAATGAATATTTGTGCTACTGGTTTAGGGACTCGCACATGTGCTGGTTTCCCTGCATTTAATTTCTTTCATTCTCATTGTATTATCTCGAAAATTCTTTTATATTTGCTGAAATATTGTTGACTTTGTTGAAACATTGACTTCAAGAACCTGGTAAAATGACTTAGCACAGTTTGTTGGCAAATTCAATGACGTCATCACCTCATATAGTATTTTCAATGCATTTTTTAATTTCATTTCAATGTAGCTTTCAAAATCAAGTGTTGTTTTTTGCATTTCTGTTGTGGGAATAAAACAGTTAATTCATTTCTGTTATTAAATTACTCTTTCAGATGAGTATATGGCACAAGGAGATAAAAATGTGTTTGCAGACTTGGCCAGAGAATATAGCAAGAATCATCCAACTATGCATTCAGGAAGCTTTACTTGTGCATCTCAAAGTTGTATGATATATATTAAATTTATATTATTACATTTATATTTATTAAATAAATATTAAATTTATTAATATTCGTTAAATTTTCTAGACAATTTTCCGGGTGGTATTGTTCAAGCTTCTAATCTACATAGCCACCATGGAAGTTATATGGTAAATTATTTGAAAATAAATTTTAAATTGAGTTCTATACATCTCATATGTACATGTTCTGCAAGAAAAATATAATTTGTTTCAGGATTATGTTTATAATAAAACAGAAGGCTATGACTTGGAAATATTTGCTGACTGTTGTGCTCATCACACACCTGAAGAGATGGCTCAGATTTGGTTAAATCACAAACCTCCATTGCTAAATCTTATAAGACAGGTAAAATATTTTTTTCCCTTTAATATAGACATTTTTCAATATAATATTTTTTACTTAAGTTTAGTAGTTTAAAAATTAACTAACAATGCTTTTGCTCGATATTATTTGTCTCGTAAGGGCCCAGTATCCCAAAACTACAAACAAACAACAACAAAAAATTTCAAATAAAAAGAGAGAATATTGTTTTTCAAAGTAACTAACATTTATAAGTACTTAATTACATTTAATTTAATTTAGTACGTAACATTTTATAAATACTTAATTGCAATGTTATGTATTTTATAATTTGAATACACCTTATAACTTTTGCTTACATTTAATATACTGAATAACTTTTAGTTTTTATAATTTATAACTTTTAATATTTAATTAACAACACAATATAATATAAATCTATATTTATTAAAATATTGCATGAAAAGGATCAATGCAACTGTATTTATTTTTAACTTTTCAAAGTTTTGTACATTATTTTTTTAGCTTGCCAATCAATACTTTGCACAGTTGTTCCTACTTATAACGCTTTTTTTTTTTGTATTTGTTAATAAACTAGCAAAATATCTGTTAGTCTAAAACAATTTAAAATGTTATTCATCGCAGCCAACCTGTGATAATCAAGATTACACTTACATCATTAAGAAAATTGTGTGAATGTGGTAAACATTCACACAATTTTCTTAATGATGTAAGTGTTCCTTACATAATTTGAATTAATTTTTTTTAATCCCTGTTGACTTTACCTATTTAAGTGTATAAAACTACACTTCAGAACTTTAACTATGAATTAAAAAGAAGCTTATTTCACACTTTTAAAATACTAACTTAGAGACGTTTTCCTAACATGCTACAAAATCTAGCATGTTGATTTTACTTCTTGTGCACGTTGATGTTGAGATCGTGCATTAAAAATGCTCCTCACAATCACTGTTTAAATTTCAGAATCCTGTCACAAATAAGTTTACAGAGAGACATGTACACAAACTCTTTCTTTTATTACAATTACGGTTGTCAAAAATAATACATTTTAGTTTCTAGTAACTAGCATACAGTGTGCCAAAATAAACCTGACCACCCTGAATAACTTTTAATCTAATGATTGGATCTTCTCATTCAAGGACTCAATTTTAATGGTTCAAAAGGGTAACCTGGAATCTGCTAATTAATTGTTACAGATGTTATTTGAAGTTACGAAATCATACACAAAAATGTACTTTCTTTGAATAAACATACCTTTTTTTCGACATATTCAGATTTTTAACCCCCCCCCCAAAGTATAGGAGTAGCCTCAATCTGGTAAATATGTTTCCCATAGCTAGGTCAGGAGAGCGATCCAAAGTTTGGATTTAATTCCTTTTTTTTTTTACACTGTACATTCCTTTCTTAAAAGAAAAAAATTGTAAATTTACCGACAGAATTTTGAATGTTACATCATTAAAATTACCAAAAAACTTCTTCAAGTTTAAAAAATAAAATAGTTCAAATATGAAGGGTTCTTTTGTCTTTTTTTCTGTTCTAAAAAAATAACCTTATAATATTCCTTTATGTACCGTTTTTTATACAATTATTTATTAAAAAAATTGCAATAAACGTAAATTTGATCAGGACGATGTTTCTTTAAAACTTTCCTTATTTCCCCCATTTAAATAAAACTGGCAAATGCTATTTTATTTTATAACGGTTGTTGAACAGCCGACCGAATTTTCAGTAAAGTTCACGACTACCAATGTTCAACTCCTTATCCTTGTAATTTTGAACCCAATCCAGAAGACAAGAGAACTCTTGGATCAAGTATTGGAAAAATTTGCTTTCGTGGAGGACTTTTTGATGGAACTAACCCAAATTTGCTTAACATGGAGAGAAAAACCTCCCATGGTTAGCCTGTTAGCAAGGGGACTCTAACCCATGGTCTGTCTACCACTGAGGATATTTACGTTAGTCCTGTGGTTGTTGCGAGACAGGTTCAGAATTCGATTAAACTAGCCATTGCCAGGATTCGAACCCAGTTCACCTCAGTGGGAGACGAGCCCTCTACCCCCTGAGCCACCACGGCTCGGCAAATGCTATTTGTAAGAAATGTGATTAAATCATTTAGCTACATAGTGAATTTTTTAAATTTTTGTTATTAGCATTATTATGGATGTCTTTAAATCCGCTAAATTTCTGACCTGATATATGTTACAATTAAAAGAAAAAACTACTATTTAATCCTATGGTAATGTACAATACTAAGTTTTGTATCTTTTTATTGCTAAAAGGTATGTTTTTTTAAATTATTTTTTAATGAAACACTCTACTTAGTTGTCTTTTATAAAAAATTTTAGAATTTTTAAATCTTCTTTTAATAAAATATATTGAAATGTATATTGTTTCTTTAGCATTGTTAAATATTACTTTAATTAAACGACTTTAGGCTGATCGAGGGATTTCTGGATCTATAATTACGGCAACTGGGCAACCTCTTCCTTTTGCTGAAATATCGATTGCTAATTTTACAAGGCAATTTCATAGCTATTCTGACGGAGACTACCACCTTCTACTTTTCCCTGGAGAATATGTTGTCACGGTCATCGCAGGTGGTCATTTACCACTTACAAAGGTACGATAAGTAGATATGAAAAATTATTAACAATAAGATAATGTTTAATTTTGTATAAAATATTAATTTTTATTGTATCAGATTATGAATATTATTTGTGGGAATTAATGTGTTTTTAAATATTTATTTTTAGATTGTGCATGTATATGCTGGTCAAGCAACAAGCGTTGACTTTAAATTAAAACAAGACCCTCGCATTGTTGGGGTACCTCGACATTCCTTTTTTATAATTATAGGTGAGTATTACATGTTTCAGTTTAAACTATAAGTAAAGTTTTTACTTAATAGGTAATTTTAATTTTTTATAAATGTAATTAAAGATGGCCACAAAACAGGGAAAATTCAAAGAATTTTTTCCATCCGTAGAAGTAGGGAGTTGTTTTTTTTTTCTTTTCTGAGTGTTTGTGAGTTATTGTTTATGTAAAAATAATCGAAGTTTACCTCTCTGATTAAAAACTTTGTATAGAAAAAAAATAGCTGTTAATATGCAAAAACAAAATGTGAAAAAAATTTTCATTTTCTATATGCTCAATATGTAACAGTCAGGTGTGAGCCTAACTCAAAAATCCTGATAATTTCCTGAGTAACATCGACAATCATTAATGGTGCATATTAAAAAATGTATGTCTTTATAAATTTAAATCATTCATATTTCAAAATATGAAATTCAAGATAAATTATATGCAGCATAATTCAAATGAATAATTATGTATAAGTTTACTTTTATCTCTAATCACATTTGATATTCTACCAGAAAAAATATTTACAAATGGAAGAGATGCAAAGTATAAATCCTAGTTCTAATATTTTTAAATAAAATACACAAGAATTTTTATACCTAATTTTTTACACATAAATGTGATCAATGATTTTTTTGAAACTTCTGGACCTTGGATTTTCAGAAACTTCCGGATCGCCGTTAGCGAAAAATCCGAATTTTTTTCCGGAGCATAATCATCTCTGATCTTGCAAAAATTAAAAGAGCAATTGAAAAAGTTCATTTATATTCTTTATTTTGACAGTTAAACTAAAAATATAGCAGCACTCTAGGTTATCAATGATGTTATTACATTAATAAAAAGCTCTTCTTCAGCTTTCATTCTATATGAGTATTTTAAATAAAAGATCCAGCATATATAGTTGGATAAGGTGATGAAATAGATTTTTTTCCACGAATTCTAATCGATGCCTCTGGTGATAAATTGTTAATAGACAAAATTTAACAAATATCAGTTAATATTTTGAGTTGATACTGCTATTACTTAGTTTTCTTTATGTTTTGCATTAAAATATTGCCTGCATTTTACTGAAAAGAGATTTGAAATGCAAGTAAAATAAAAAAGTGAGTACCCTAAAAAACTTTCAACCCAATTTTCATGTATTACGAATCAATCTTAAATGATTTAAGAGTATAACCATAAATATGTAATTTATTAGTGCAGACAATATTTTAAAAATTACGAAATCAGACACGAAGGCGTATTTTCTTGGAGTAAACATACCTTTTTTTTTACGGATTTAGTTCTTTACCTTCAAGTTATGGGATAATATCCACAATGTGAAAATTTTTGCCCCAATAGTTTAATTAAAAGAGTCATTGAATGTTTAGACTCCTTAATATTACATTCCCTTTTTCTGTATTTTCCTATAAATATGATATAAATCCTTTTGAGCGAATCAAAAAAACTTTTGCATATAATCATAAAATTTGCTTAACCAAAAATAATACCATTTAAAAAAAAAAATTTAATAATTTATTATTTTTTATTCATATATTGTATATTAATTGATAATTTTTTAATTTTCTGATAGACAAATTTTTGCATCATTTTAAAGAATGCAATTTTAAATTCTATTGTATAATAGAATCTGTATAAAAGAATCTATTGTATAAAAGAATACTCTAATCTATTTATTCTATTTATGCAGATTTGTGTAAAAACCCTTACATAACTGCATATTTTATTTCTGATTTTTTTAAATTTAATAGATGATGCACAGAATATGAAGATTTGAGTGCTTATGTGCATTTAAAAATAACAAATCTAACAGTAGTAGTAATGATATTGAATAAAAATGACATTTTTATTAATAAATAAATATTTAATTTATTTTATATTCAAAATTATTATTCACTTTGTGTTAGAGATGGGTTTTTTTAAATTTGCTATTGATATAAATTTCTTTTTTTTTTAATTTCATATTTATTATTTTTAAGATTAAATGTACAGCATCTGTAATTTTTTTTGTAAAATTTTAATTCTTTCTGTTACAGGATCTTTGGCACTTTTGCTGTTAGTTACAATAATGTGTATCTATAGCACAATTTTATACAAAAAGAGAAAAGGTTACTCCTTCCATCGCCTAGATCAAGGACAGTGTTTGTTTGATGAAGATGATTTTCCTGGTTCTCTGAAATTTGGCACTAAATTAGGTTTAAAATCAAAAGAATACCGGGATGATACCTCATCAGAAGATGAACTATATAATACATATGCATGGAAAAATGGCCATGGGTAAATATAGTTTTATAATTAATTATTTTAAATTCTTGGGTAAGTAAGATTAAGGAAAATAAAATCAGTGAAACGTTCTTATTTTAAAAAAACTCAAACTTTAAAGTATATTTAAACTCAACTTGTATTGCAATTTATAAAAATAAAATATCTGATAGATACTATATGCATGTTGATTAAATCAAATAAGCATTTTGAAAAACATTTGTTGATTTGAAATATTAATAAATTTCATTTTTAAATAATATTATATGTCCTCGCTTTAGTTAGAACAAGTTAGGCATAGAGTTTTCAACAGTTTCTTCATCTCTCTACGCTACCGAAATAAGTTAAACAGATGAAACTTATTTTTATTCTACAATTCATTTTTGTAGTTCTTTGCATGCACATAGCACCTCTAAATAAAACAAAATTATTAAAATCCAAAGAATGTCTTAGCCACTCTAAGACAATCTTTTTTTTTTTTCCAACAAAGTCTAAAAATGTACGCTTTTTCAATCAACATGCATGCTACTGTTCAATGTATGTACTTATATTGCTTGAGTGTCAACATTAGATATCTCATTTGGGTGGGAAGGGAAGATTTATTATGAGCTTTGTTTCCACCTAAATTTTGATAGGAAAATACTCAACTTTATTGTTAGAAAATAATGCCCTTGATAAATTATGCATAAAATATAATAATGGTTATTTTATAATAAGTTATGAAGCTTTTCTGTAAAATGGGAAAGGTGATGTTCAATATTATTTGAATTATTTTACTTTTATACACAATTTATTCTATGATTATTTAATTTCAATGAAATGTTCAAAAGTAAATGATTTGATCTCATCAAATAACGTAGGGAAATACCTATATGTTAAACACAACAATATAGGAACAATTTTTTGATCAAATATTTAAAGAGTTCAAGTAAATGAATAAAATAAAAGTATTGTAATTTTAAATAAATCAAAACTTTAAGTATTTCAATAGAGATTATACTTTTCAGGAAACAGAAAAAGAAACTTTTAGATGATACTACGTAACTTGGATCTGGAGATAAAATATGTGATAATAAGTATTCATTCCTGTATGTTGATAATAGTAAATAACAATGTAAATAGATTAAATGTTGTTATTTTTAGAATTTTATTCAAATAGAAAAAAAGCTGTAGTCTTCAAATAATTTTAAGTATTTATGGAAATTTTAATATGCATAAAATTATTTGTTATTATTTGAACTTAATACTATTTGATCGCTTTTTAAAAGTAATCATAGAATGATTATTTATCAAAATAAATGTGTATAGTGTTGGCATTATGAAATTAATTTATTATCTTTAACTTTTTTAGTTATTATATAATTATAAATTACACTGTTTTTAAAAATATTGTATTAGTTTTTTTTTAACCAATTATTATCAAAGTTTTATCGAGTTTCTCAATTATTAGTCATATAATTCATAAAATATTGTACCAATTATTAATTTAANAGGCTTCAGAGTTTTCAACTGTTTCTTCATCTCTCTACCCTACCGAAATAAGTTAAACAAATGAGACTTATTTTTATTCTACAATTCATTTTTGCAGTTCTTTGCATGCACATAGCGCCTCTAAATAAAACAAAGTTATTAAAATCCAAAGAATGCCTTAGGCACTCTAAAACAATCTTTTTTTCCCAACAAAGTCTAAAAATGTACCCTTTTTCAATCAACATTCATGCTCTACTGTTCAATGACTTATATTGCTTGAGTGTCAATATTAGATATTTCATTTGGGAGGGAAGGGAAAATTTGTGAGCTTTTTTTTTACCTAAAATTTTATAGGAAAATACTCAAATTTATTGTTAGAAAATAATGCCCTTAAAAAAATTATGCATAAAATATAATAATGCTTATTTTACAATAAGTTATGAAGCTTTTCTGTAAAATAGGAAAGGTGTTGTTCAATATTATTTTACTTTCATACACAATTTATTCTATGATTATTTAATTTCAATGAAATGTCCAAAAGTAAATGATTTGATCTCATGAAATAACGTAGGGAAATACCTATATGTTAAATAAAAAAAATAAAACAAAAGTATTGTAATAAAATAAAAGTATTTTAAATAAATCAAAAGTATTTCAATAGAGTTCATACTTTTCAGGAAACAGAAAAAGAAACTTTTAGATGATACTACGTAACTTGGATCTGGAGATAAAATATGTGATAATAAGTATTCATTCCTGTATGTTAATAATAGTAAATAACAATGTAAATAGATTAAATGTTGTTATTTTTAGAATTTTATTCAAATAGAAAAAAAGCTGTAGTCTTCAAATAATTTTAAGTATTTATGGAAATTTTAATATGCATAAAATTATTTGTTATTATTTGAACTTAATACTATTTGATCGCTTTTTAAAAGTAATCATAGAATGATTATTTATCAAAATAAATGTGTATAGTGTTGGCATTATGAAATTAATTTATTATCTTTAACTTTTTTAGTTATTATATAATTATAAATTACACTGTTTTTAAAAATATTGTATTAGTTTTTTTTTAACCAATTATTATCAAAGTTTTATCGAGTTTCTCAATTATTAGTCATATAATTCATAAAATATTGTACCAATTATTAATTTAATAACTTTAATCATGGTTCTCACAAAATCTATAGTTTTTTTTTTTTTTATTTTGCAACTAGCACTATATTATTTGAAAAAAATGTGAACACATTTTTCAAATCAGGGTTATTGTAGATATTTATTTTTTTTTTAAAAGGACCATTTATAACTATTTTTCATCTTAGAAATTTTATCATTTTCAAATTTTACCAGTTTTTGTACCATGAATTTTACTCAGCTTCCTGAATTCAAAATAAATACAATATGATTGATATTTCATAATTTAAAACAATATTTAAAGTATCGTATTTTATAATACATATGTAAATTAAAATAATTTCTGAAGTAATTGTTTGTATTTTTAATAGTTTAACTAGAAAAAATACTTTGTTTTTGGCCTGGTTATTAATAATTCTTATAATTAATATTGCTTTCTTTTTTTATTTTGTTGAAGTTTTCATCAAATTCAAAGAGTATACAGTGTGTTTCAATACTTGTCTATAATATATATGGCTAAAAATAAAGTAAAACCAGGTGCTCTATGTTAAGTAATATTTAATGGGAGCTATCAAATGTGTTATGCAATTAAATGTTTTCTTGTGTGACACTGTTATGCTACGCAAATTGAAGCAAATCATGCTATCAAGTAATCACTTTTTAACACTAGATTATATTTTATATTGTAAATCCTATTTCAGTGATAAACAAATCCCACAAATGCGCCACATTTTGTATTCACATGATTTATGAATCTCATATTCAAACTAAAGTATTTTTTGACCACTCTTATTGTTGTGCAAACCTGCATTATTTTTTAGTCAGGACATCGCACTAAAGTTTTATATAAGCACATCATTGTGAACTATGCTTACAAATATTATTCCCGAGGTAATTGTGCCGTTCATTTCAACTATCATTGAAATGCACAAATGATCGTAACTCAAATTCATATATTTTTTTTTCTAATTGCATTTTCAACCAACTGGTTAGTTTTCCATAACTTTCCTGAAATATTTTACAAAAATTAAGTCTTTTTAAGAAGTATAATATCACCTCTATTTATCTAAATTTTTTGATTACCAAGAACTAGTGTAGTTTTTGCAATTCATATTTATCACTATTTGCACTCTAAGTATTGATATATACAGAAAAAAATAAATAAATAAACATACTGGATGTAATAAAAGCTTTATGACACATTTAAAAAAAAAAACATCAGAGTTAGAGTATTTAGTTGATAGTTGAGATGCTCCGAGAGAAAAAAAAAAGATTTTTGTAAAATGGAGCTCAAAATCACTGATCTAAATATATTTTTTGTACGGTTAATCAGAGCTATTTTTATTTAGATTCTTATATGTGGAGTCATGATAATACTATTTCATAATATAATACATTAGCTTTCTATGATTATAATCAATCATAATTAAATATATTACACTGATCATGTCTAAATATATTTCACTGCAACTAAGTCATGTTTTTTTTTTCTTCATATCATTATCTCTGAGAAAGATATTTTCACTGTGTAGGTTGTTTTTTGTTGATAGCACACTAAAAATACTTGAAATAATTTTCAGTATACCTAAAAATGTAATAAAAAAAAATTTTATGATACAGAAAAAAAAACTTCAAATTATTAGTTTACAAAATTAATTTAATGAGCAGGATATTTGACAAACCACCTCCGAATCTATGCTGGGTAAAAGTAGCGTAAGCTCTTGACGTGTATTACTTTTCATCATTGTAATTATATACAAAATAATGTATAACCCAAATAACAACAGAAATTTTGGAAATCTGTAATTTATGAAATAAAATGTAGTTGGAATTAAACAGAAAACATAATTGGCCAATTTATTAAGCAGATTAATTAAGACCTGAATTTGGTGATATGTCCATTTAGATGAATATTTTTATTAAAACTCACACATGTAGCTTTTGTAGCTGTAGACTGACTCTCAATAATTAACTGCTTCAAGAGTTATTCAATTCATTAAAGCAACAACAACAAAAGAAAACCTGAAACTTTGATGCTTTTTAGATCTTGAAGAAGCGGGCACCTTCTCAGTTGTTAATTTTGCAATTTATATTTTCTTGACTACATTCTCTTATGTTCTATACTCCACACATTAACCCCTGGTGGGAAAAATTCCAATGACAGTCTACAACAAATTTCAGAACATATGAAATTAGAAAGTGATTATAAATGTAAAAAATGCATGGCAAATGGGTTTTAACAGCAAATATATATATATATAGAGAGAGAGACCTGAATGGATTTTGTTCAAAATAAAATATTTGTTATTGCAGAATTAACAATAGTAAAATAAAATATGATAAATTATTTTCTAAGTCTTAATATATTTTTTATAAATTTTAATGCTGAATATTTATATTATTTTATTAGTAGTTTGCATTTAATTAAAAAATGTTCAAAAGAATTGTTTCTATTGAAGGTTGTTTTAATATTGTGTTTTTAGATGTTTATTTATATACAGATGAACAAAGTATTTATTATTTCGTGCATTTACGAACTTTTAAATTTTAATGGGCAAATTGTTTCCATTGTATTGCCTCAGGACTCTTAACACATTCCTGATTTTTTTTTATTAAAAACATTGTCAAAAGAAAAGTTATATTAATTACAAAAATATGTTTTAATTTAGGAATGAGTTTACACATTTTCAATATTTTTTTGATTTTGTATCAGTGCTTATTAACAAGTTTGTATAAAAATGTTGCTAAACCTGTTTTTGTAAAAGTAATATTTGAAGAACAAATAAATTTATTTTATTAGTTATAGTGTGCCAAATATTGTTTTTAGTTTGTTTCAGTTTTACTGCTGCAGCTTTATTTTCTGTGTATAGGTGTGTAATATATTATTGAGTAATTGTATAAATTAATATAATTACCCTGTCCATTAGACAATAAAGCTCTCAGAGAAAGTTTGCAATTGACTAATAGTCAAACTTTATCATTTAGCACATTTTTTAGAAATGGAAACCTCTTAAGTATAGCACTTAGTATACTAAAGCCCATTATTCTGATCAACTTGTACCAACGGTAAGCGAAAGGTTAAAACTAGTCTTGGTTTCAAACAACGCTTTTAATAATATTTCTACGTAATTATTTCATAAGTAAACCATATTTTCATAAAAACTTTAAAATGATTTTCTAATAACAAATTATTAAAATTTGAAAAACAGAGATTTACTATGGATTACACGCAATACACATGAATGTTTAATTTATACTATTTGTTCATGGAGTAAGTAAATTTCTGTATTTTAAATGATACTATACTAAATTAACTAGTGAAACTTTTCTGAAAATAATAATTAGTGAAGTACATAATTAGAGTCAAAAGATATAAATCATACTAAAATAATTTATTATATTTATACACAGAATAGAAACAAACGAACTTATAAAAGTAAATTGGAATTTTTATGTTTCTAGATTGCATTTAGACTACATGACTATAAAGATCATGACTGAGATTCCCAATGTATAAAGAAAATTTTTTGACTGAAAGACGTTGGTGAATGCTTCATTTTTTTAGATTCAAGCTTCTAAAACCTAAAAGAAAAACAAACATTTTATACAATGTTGTTCAAATTATAAACTAAATTTTTATGTATAAATTAAAACAAAACATGGAACCAAAGTATAAATGTGCACTTTTAAAAGAAAACAAAATTTATTACTACAAAATGCATTGAAACTTAAGTTAAAGATGCTTTAGTGATAACTAGAAATACACTTTCCCTCAATTCTCTAAAGAAACAATGTTCTAAACATTTAATATTTTCCATTATGACCTGAACTTTGAAAAACTTGAATCTTCAGGACCCAAAACTTATCAATTTTTGAATCTTTTTTGCCGGTTAAAACAAATGTTTATAGTGTTTAAAAAATAATAATGGAATGTACTTATTTTCTAATTGATAACGGACATGATAAGAATTATATTTATCTGCACATCAACCAGCCTGACATTGCTGAACAAATTCGTTTTTACAAACTTGCAGAAAAGAGGAAGAACAACAAAGAATTTTGCAGCTTAAAAGTGGCCAAAGGAAGATATTCCTTCAATCTTTCCTTTATTCTTTCAATCTGCTATATTTGTATGTAATTGCATCTCCCAAAACTATAGTAATTTTTTATGCCTCTAACAGATTGAGATATGATCAATACAGTGTGCAAAATAAAAAAGATTATTTTGTTCTAATAAACCGATTTTCACGTTCTAAGTGTCAATTTCAAAGGTTCAAGGGGGTGACCTCAAATATGCTAATTAATTAGTACTAACTATGAATTAAGTTACAAAATTAGATACAAAAACATACTTTCTCTGAATAAATTTATAATTTTTTACACCTTTGGATTCCTGACCCCAAACTATATGGGGTAGACAAAGTTTCAAAAAATTGGGTCATAAACTTGGGTGCTAGAAGGCTATATATATTTGGCGAAGTCTCGCAAAAATAGCCAAATAATATCGCCATAGTAGGAGTAGAAATTTAAGGTAAACTTAAACGAATGATGTGATCGACAAGAGAGAAATACCCTAGTGTTTCTCCATTGCTAAGCAACCAAGTNTTCAATTTTTGACGGTTAAAAAAAAAATAATGGAATGTACTTATTTTCCAATTCATAACAGACATGATAAGAATTATATTTATCTGCACATCAACCAGCCTGACATTGCTGAACAAAGATATTCGTTTTTACAATGCAGAAAAGTGAAGAACAACAAAGAATTTTGTTGAGACAAAGACTTTTGCAGCTTAAAAGTGGCCAAAAGAAGATATTCGTTCAATCTGCTATATTTGTATGTAATTGTATAGCCAAAAACTATAGTAATTTTTTATGCCGCTAACAGATTGAGATATGATAGATACAGTGTGCAAAATAAAAAAGATTCTTTAGTTCTAATAAACCGATTTTCACGTACTAAGTATCAATTTCAAAGGTTCAAGGGGGTGACCTCAAATATGCTAATTAATTAGTACTAACTATGAATTAAATTACAAAATTAGATACAAAAACATACTTTCTCTGAATAAATTTATAATTTTTAACACCTTTGGATTCCTGACCCCAAACTATAGACAAAGTTTCGAAAAAATTGGGTCATAAACTTGGGTGCTAGGAGGCTATATATATTTGGCAAAGTCCCGCAAAAATAGCCAAATAATATCGTCATAGCAGGAGTAGAAATTTAAGGTAACCTTAAACGAATGATGTGATCGACAAGAGAGAAATACCCTAGTGTTTCTCCATTGCTAAGCAACCAAGTTGACACAATAAAAATTGAATCTTTCAATCATCATTTTCAGTTAGCTCAGGAAAGCTTATCTTTTAATAGTTAATAGAAAAATATCTCGAAGCTTCTAGAGTGCATGGTTTTCTTTAGATAAAAATAATTTGCTAATAGCTTTCTTTACATTCTGAATGCATTCATAGTTTCTCTACATTCTGGACGGATTTTAGCAAAATGTGAATTCATAAAATGTTGCTCAACATGTTCTTCAGTTACGAACAGCTACACGTAATATTAAATATCGCTTCTAAAAGTAATTGTTTCTTAATTCCTTTTATTACAAACTTACTTTACGATTCTCACCATCCATACATACATATACTTGATACGATAAGACTCCTTTTAAACAGAGCTTTTAAGGTCCTTAAAAAACTGAAATGGGGGAAGCAAAATTACATTCATTACGTTTATTTTTAGCACATGATTGAGAGATTAGTTTCAATAATGCCAAATATCTGGTAACAAAATCTTAAGTTTTGAAATTTTAATTTTATAGTTAAAAATACCTTCATAACTATAATGTTGATGCCACAGTTTCTTTAATGTTTTAAGGACCTCTTAGTAAGTTAGATGTTAGCTTTTATGAGCATAAGATTCTGATCAAAATAATGATCCAAGAGTGAAATAGGATATAAAAATACAAAAAAGAAAAACAGCAAAAGCTGTTTTGGAGATGTGGAGAAGCAAATCTGGGCAAAATCCATTTCCACGTGTCATGGAGAGATGATGAGGACAAATGTCATTAACAAGGGAATTGGCATTCATATGAATAAAACAGCATTCCCAGGTGTCAAGATGAGCTGAAGTGACAGGTGTGGTAAGAACTTTGGCATTATTGAAATTTAATTTATCCCTATGATTTAAAGAATGGGAAGGCAATAGATGATTTAGCACATTCTTGATCGCGGATTTATCCACCGTTTTCTTTAGGCTAAATTTTAAAGCACGTCTGGTTTGTCCAATGTAAACAAAATTGTATTGGAAAAGTATTAATTCTCTGATTCACTCCCGTCTACCATGGTTTTTCTAGTTTTTGTTTTTCCAATTTTTCGTTGACAACTATACATTTTTGTTTCCTCATACAGAATTGACGAGTCTTGAAAATAGATGACTATTTCTTAGCACGCTAAGCATTTGCTTTAAACATTGCTGTTCACAGGGCTCTTTTGTGAAGTTATCGAAGTTTCTATCTTTCCTCTCTAGTTTCTTGGGATTATTCATCCAACCCAGTAATAAAAAATTTTTTTTTAGATGTTTTAAAACGTTGGCAACGCTATTCTCTTTATAGTGACATGAAATATCAAAACAAGATGTCACATAATCATTGTTGATATTTTACAATTTGAAGACAAGATGTAATGATACCTCTTATAAAACTTTTATCTTTATTAAGTTGTAATTGCTTGACAATTAATAAATTCAGTTTGAAGAAATTGATAAATATATTATTCCAAATCAATGCATACATATGTATATTATTAAAATCGTATTAATTATTCATTGAACCTTCTAAAAATAAAAAAAGTAAATGTATAACCACATTCTATCAGAAAAATGCTTTTATAAAACTCAACATTCGTTAAATATAATGTTTTAAGTTAAAAATTAGGATAATTTCTTCCTCCAGCAATCACAATTCTCTTGTATCAAAGTTATTCTTGAATTTAAAACTATCAATTAATGACAATGGTGGTTTTAATTTGTTTCACTAAAGTCGCAAAAAAAATGAAATTGGACAAAAGATTGGGAGAAATATGAATTTAAAAAAAAAATCAAACCTTTTGAAGTGAAACATAATTCTTTGGATGTCTAAATCTCCCTCGTATAAGAGAATAGCATACTAAAGTCATGACCATCACAAACATAAAGTAACTGGTGTGCATTAAATGTAGATTAACAATAGAACGTTCATGCTAAGAAAAAATATGTAAGAATTAACATATAAAATTTTTTAAAAATGAAATTATAAGAATAAGATTGTCACTGTGCTGAAATAAAATAGTTTAGGAAGCATTACATAAAGCACAAATAAAAAAATTAAAAAGCAAACTTCAATTTTAGTACAATTAGCAAAACAGGAATGAGCTCAGTGTCTCAAGAATGAAAAATCATTTAAAACAAACAAAAAGAGATAGAAATGTAACATATGTGATAACTATCACATGAAGCATCACATTTTGTTGTAAGCTCATAGTACTGCAATGAAACTATAAATTCTCAAAATAACAAATTTTTCAAATGATAATGTGCCACAGTCTGAGGGCAAAGTTAACAGTTGCCTGTGCAAATATTTAAATTGGAAAAACTAACATGCAGATGAAAATATTGTTTTTGAGTTTTTTTAATCAGCCATCTAAGCATCTGACAATTTTTAAAAGGACCCGCTACAAATCTTATGGAAATTATTTCTCTGTCAAATTGGCTGAAATTTTATTGTTGTAGCTCTGATTAACCCCTTAACACACAGATTTTTTGGAAAAAATACAGGCCAAAAAAAAGTCACATTTTTTTTAATGTAAAAAAAACACACTTTAGAACATTGTCTAGACTTGGTTCAACTTTTCTTTTGGTGGACAATTTTGATATAATGCGCTTTTGTTCCATGGAAAAAAGCTATATTTTATTCTTGAATAAATAAATGTTATAGCTTACAATTCTATGTAAATGATAAATATCAAAAATTATAGCAGCAAAAAATTAGTGTGAAAAATTATAGCAGCAAAAAATACAACGCCGCTTGAATTATCTCGAGTGTGCACAGTTTCGCCTATTTAGAGAGCTCAAATTAACTCGAGCACACAAGTTAAGGGGTTAAAGTTCTCATTGATACAAAGTTCAAGAATGTATAGTTACCGAGTCTCAAACATAAGAGGTATAGGCAATGCAGTGAAAGGTGCTTGAAGCCCACAGCATTGGCTTAGGTGAATGTGAAGAAGTAATGCTAGGAAAGAAGTAGTGTTGGACATTCTGACCTGCTACTAGCTTTTTCATTATTTAATCTAACCATCAATGAGTTTTGTGCAAAATCTGATTCGACAACCTTCATGCGGTTGACATTGATTTATGCCAATGTTGTGTCAGTAATAGAGAATTGGGAATTACTATTTATGTTCGAGAATTTGTGATGAGAACTTTCCATCAGAATGTTTTGAACTTTCACATTTTAAAATTTTAGCTAATTTGCTACAGAGTTAGTTTATTTCCATAATATTTGTGTGGGATCCTTTGGTGCGAATGATAACTGGTTTCCTAAGCAGGACACAGAAAACATAATTTTTTTTTTTTTTTGCCTACCATTTTACTTTAATTGCCTTTTTAAATCATTGGTAACTTTTGGGGCACAGTTATGAAAAAATAAATAAATAAAAGAGAGATTGAGAGAAATGTTGAATAATTACAGATTCAATCAAATTACAGTTGAAGATCTTTACAATGCAAATCTTGAATAGCGAAGCTTTGCACTATGTAGAATTTTGTGTTATATAGATGATTTCACATATTATTAAATTTTCCTGCTCAACAAAGCAATATTTGTCTGAAACAATTCGAGATTAATGCTTTACAATAGTAAAATAATTTTTATATACAAATGAGTTAAAACACAAAAATATGCAAGTATTCATTATTTACAGAAAATTTTTTTAATTAGCACGAGCTTTAGAAATATCCAACAAATTTATCAGTTTTGATTTGCTTTAGAAATTGCAAATTTAATGTGTTTTATGAAGAATTACAGTTTACAGAATTGAATTATAAAAATCTTCCAATGTACAACAAGAAATTAAGACTGGGAAAATTGTCTAATAAGGAGGATAGTAAAACCTGACAAATTTAGCCAAAGTAAAGTGCAAGGTAAAAAAAAAGTAGAAATAATAAAATAAGAGACAAAAATTTCATTTCTAATTTGTTGGACAGTAACCTTCTAGTTAGCTTTGACTGGACTTAGTTGGTTTTTCTCCTCCACTTACTGGTCAACTTTTTCTTTGTTAACTTAATATACATTTTATTTTCAATAGGTTTTGTAGTCTTTAGGAATTCCTTTCAATTCTATGGCTCAGCAATGGATAAAAAAAATACTTGTTTGTTAACATAAATCTGCTTGCTTTGCTCACAAACCCCCACACAATTGCTATAATATTTTTTTAAATGACTAACAGACTGTTAAATCACAAAGTATTCAATTGAAATATTCCAAAAAGTTTTAGTGTATTGAAACATGTTTAGTTTACCAGATTTAGGTCCTGATTCCATTACATTACGAAAAAATTTAAACCCTAACATTTCGCTCGGTTATCATTGTAACTTCTTCTACAATCTTATTTTATAATTTTTGATTATTTAAAAAATTTTCTAAATTTATATCACCAAAAATATTATTTAGTAATAGAGGGAAAAGTTAATTCTAAATTACAATTTTGTGTTTATTAATTTAATTGCATATGTTGACCAAAAATACAGTTATACACAAAGCTTATAATAAAAGTTACCTTATATAGTCTAATAATTGTAAAACCGTTATAAATTCATATGCAGATTTAAATATGTTTATCGTAAAATATTGCCTTATAAGGTAATATCACTGGATTGCTTTAAAATAAAGATTGCTTTTAGTTTAGCACTTTAATTTGAAATCAAAATAAAAAACGTAGTAATGGCTGATAAATAATACAAGTACATGCCTTTTAACAAGGGAAAAAAATCTTTTTATACAGGTAAACAATACCTAACTTTTATTAATATGTTGACAACAACCAAATAAATATGGATCTTCAGATGAGAAAATTAATTCTTACCCCATGTATTTTCTGGCAACTAAGTATTTCTGCTTACAACAAGAGAAAACAGTTTAAGGCCATTCACCTTTTTATTTATTAGAGATATTGTTTAATTTTAGATAACTTGAATTACTTGTAAAATACTTACCAAACTTAACATTTCTGTTAACTTTACATCAGGACTATAGCTCAATTCAATACAAGTTTTGGAAGACTCGTCTTTTTCTTCTAGGAGTGGAGATTCAGCAAAAAATATGGGTAGACTATTCTGAGGTTGACTGATGGTGCACTTCTCAGGACCTCTAAAGAAAAAGAAATTCAAAACAAATTTAATATTAATTTCACACAACAAGAACTTATTTGCATTTCCTAATTGTTTAACAGCTGATGAGACAAACTAGTGATCCACATTCTGTTTTAATAATAATTCTGTCAACCAACAAATTGGATCTAACGTAAAATATAAATGTTTTTATAAACAATCCTGAAACACATGTGCAAATTCAAACTCTCTACTTGCCATATCACATACCTGACCAAGTCCAAAAACACTGACTGAAAAATATTAATTATTATATAGCACATTTATTTTTAAAAAAAAGTATTTTAAAAGAATTTTTCTCTTAAAAGAAAATTATACTACACACAGTATTAAATTAACACATCACTCACTATTTTTGCGGATAACTACAGGTAAGTGTTTACATTTTCCTAAAACTGCTTTAAAATACATTAAATGTAATAAAATCAGTGTAAAAGAATTGGTTTTAAATATTGTAAAAAAATAAAAATCCTGAATACAGTTTTACAAAAAATAAATAAATAAAATCACTAAAAATAAATAAATATGTAGCATTACCAGTGATTTCATCATAGAAAAAAAATGGGTGAGAATTTCTCACCCTTTCTCAAAACTAAAAAAACACAAAAACTCTTGAAAAAAAATCATTTTTTTAATTATAATACATTTTTAACTTCTTCTATTTTTTAAATTATTGAATATTTTTGGTGCATCATCATAGAAGATTTTGCCTTAACAAGGTATTTGTCCATCTTACATTAGCACATAAAGAATTTGAACGTCTTACATGAAGAAACCTTACCTACGGTAAACACGTGGTTGCAGAGAAATGTGTTCTGAAAGGGGTTCCGTGGTTGCGTTCTGTTGTTCGAAAAGGTTCTGAACAATACTGGTAAATAGGGAACCTAGATAACCGGGCAGATGTTGAAAATAATGAAAGATCCAGGAAGAAAAGTGAAACGGATTTTATTCTAAATGGCGTAATTGGAAGCTTTTTCCAAAATGCGAGAAATTCGCGAATTTTGAAATTGATTTATAGAATGAGCGAATTTCTCGCGATAATAATTTTTTAATGCGAGAAAAGAAACAAATATGCGAGATTCTCGCGTTTTCGCGCTGTAGTGAAAACAATGCATTACAAATCTACATCAAATGTAATAGGTGCATATTTTCAGCATAATTAATAATAATCATAACCTAAAAAAAAAGAGAATGAAAATTTTCTGGAAAAATATACTAAAGAGAACTATGAAAGTGCCTTTCACAGATTTTGAAATTATTCAGGGAGATAAATTATCACTTCACTGCATTTGGATATAATTTCTTCTTTTACACTTTTCTTTCTACTTTCTTGTGTACAGTCAAATAATTTAAAACACATTAAATTACTTTGCATAAAATATTTTTTAATTTGTTTTCTTGCTTTTGTGTGTCGACTCTGAAAAATCAAACAAATATTTATGCTTTTCAAACGAAATTTCTTGAACACAGAATTTCTAAGAGTAATAAAGTTCATCCAGATTCATTAGTATTTCCTCCCTTTGCTTTAGTGTAAATTATAAATCCAGCAACTTAAAATGCATTGTCATTTAAAACAATCTAATAAAACTGAATGTGTTTACAATAAAAACTAATATAATTACTTTGTTTTAGGCAAAAGTTCACTTGGCCAACTCATGGTGATGCATATTTCATAATCGAACCAACAATTCTTACCAGTGCAATTATTCTTTTGTAAAGAATGAATATTCAATGAAACATTATACAACAGTCGACCAAATTTACCTGCAAATATTAAAAATATATTACTTTTTCGCAAATTAATATATTTCACGGGACACATTATTTTTAAAAAGAGCTTAAAGGTGCTTATTATTGATTTTCCTTTTTTTAATAGCCCTCAAAGTTGATTTTTCATTGGATTTTGCAAGAAGAGNTCTCTCACCTTATTGTCCACTTCCTGCACCAAACTTTCATTAACGACTGAAGGACGCCCACTCCGTTGTTCATCATGCACATTTGTGCGGCCTTCTTTAAATGCTCTCACCCACTTTCTTACCATTCCATCACTCATAATGTTTTGTCCATAAACTGCACAGATCTCACGATGAATATCGATCGGTTTTAGGCCTTTAGCACTAAGAAATCTTATAACAGCCCTTAGTTCACAGTCGGCGGGACTCACGATTATCGGAGGCATCTTAAACACTCAGTAAACAACGTAAACAAGGAAGAATCAGACTGCAATGGCGTCAGTGCGTGGGCAATAGATGTAGGTATCCAGTGCGCATGCGCAGAACGCCGACCGCAACGCTGCGGCGGCGGTACAGCAAAACGGTACTTACTTAAAAAACACGCCTCGTATTATGGAAATTATTTCTCTGTCAAATTGGCTGAAATTTTATTGTTGTAGTTACTGTTATAGTAGTGTAGCTGATTAACCCCTTAACGCACACATAAAAAAAAGGCCAAAAAAATCTATTTTTTTAATGTAAAAAAACACACTTTAGAACATTGTCTTGACTTGGTTCAACTTTTCTTTTGGTGGACAATTTTGATATATTGCGCTTTTATTCCATGGAAAAAGGCTATATTTTATTCTTGAATAAATAAATGTTATAGCTTACAATCCTATGTAAATGATAAATATCAAAAATTATAGCAGCAAAAAATTAGGGTGAAAAATTATAGCAGCATAAAATAAAACACCGCTTGAATTATCTCGAGTGTGCACAGTTTCGCCTATTTAGCGAGCTGAAATTAACTCGAGCACACAAGCTAAGGGGTTAAAGTTCTCATTGACACAAAGTTCAAAAATGTATAGTTACTGAGTCTCAAACATAAGAGATATAGGCAATGCGGTGAAAGGTGCTTGAAGCGCACAGCATTGGCTTAGGTGAATGTGAAGAAGTAATGCTAGGAAAGAAGTAGTGTTGGACATTCTGACCTGCTACTAGCTTTTTCATTATTTAATCTAACTATCAATGAGTTTTGTGCAAAATCTGATACGACAACCTCCATGCGGTTGACATTGATTTATGCCAATATTGTGTCAGTAATAGAGAATTGGAAATTACCATTTATGTTTGAGAACTTTCCATCAGAATGTTTTGAACTTTAACATTTTAAAATTTTAGCTAATTTGCTAGAGAGTTAATTTCCTTAATATTTGTGTGGTATCCTTTGGTGAGAATGATAACTGGTTTCCTAAGCAGAACACAGAAAACATAATTTTTTTTTTTGCCTACCATTTTACTTTAATTGCCTTTTTTAAATCATTGGTAATTTTTGGGGCATACTTGTATTAACACAGTTAAGACAAAAAAAAAGAAAGACAAATGCTGAATAATTACAGATTCAATCAAATTACAGTTGAAGATCTTTACAATGCAAATCTTGAATAGCGAAGTTTTGCACTATGTAGAATTTTGTGTTATATAGATGATTTCACATATTATTAAACTTTCCTGCTTAACAAAGCAATATATGTCTGAAACATTTCAAGATTAATGCTTTACAATAGCATAATAATTTTTATATACAAATAAGTTAAAACACAAAAATATGCAACTATATATTATTTACAGAAAAAAAATTAAATTATTACGAGCTTTAGAAATATAATCCAACAAATTTATCAGTTTTGATATGTTTTAGAAATTATAAATTTAATGTGTTTTATGAAGAATTACAGTTTACAGAATTGCATTATAAAAATCTTCCAATGTACAAGAAGAAATTAACACTGGGAAAATTATCTAATAAGGAGGATAGTAAAACCTGACAAATTTAGCCGAAGTAAAGTGTAAGGTAAAAAAAAAGTAGAAATAATAAAATAAGAGACAAAATATTTTTCTTCTTATATGTTGGATGGTAATCTAGTTAGTTTTAACTGGACTTGTTGGTTTTTCTCCTCCACTTACTGGTCAAGTTTTCCAGTGTTAACTTTAAGCAGAATTTAATTTAAATTGATTTTGTAGTCTTTGGCAATTTCATTCAATTCTATGCCTCAGCATTGGAGAAAAAAGATACTTGTTTGTTAGCATAACTCTGCTTGCTTTGCTCACCAACCTACACAATTTTTACGATATATATATTTGTGTGTGTGTGCAAGCGTGCGTGTGTGTATTTTAAATGACAAACAGATTGTTAAATTAAAAAGTATTCAATTGAAATATTCCAAAATGAGTTATTGTATTGAGACATGTTCAGTTTCCCAGATTTAGTTCCTGATTCCACTAGAAAAAAATTTAAATCCAAACATTTTGCTTGGTTATCATTGCCACTTCTACAATCTTGTTTTATAAATTTATATATTCCAATCTTGTTTCATAATTTTTAATTATTTAAAAAACTTTCTAAATTTTTTCCACCAAACATATTATTTAGTAATAGAGGAAAAAGTTACTTTTAAATTACAATTTTGTATTTATTAATTTAATTGCACATGTTGACCGAATTCCGTTATATACAAAGCTTATAATAAAGGTTAACTTATTTAGACTAATAATTGTAAAACCGTTATAAGTTTATATACAGATTTAAATACGTTTATCATAAAATATTGCCTTATAAGGTAATATCACTGGATTGCTTTATAATAAAGATTGCTTAACTTTTATTAATATTATGTTGACGACAACCAAATAAATATGGATCCTCATGTGAGAAAATTAGTTCTTACCCCATGTATTTTCTGGCAATTATGAATGTGCCAACAACAAATGGAAAGCGGTTTAAAGCCTAATAAAGTTGGTGTGTCTTGAACATAAAGCTTAAATTGGTGTGTTAAAATAATTAGCACCTAAAAATAGCCGTAAAAATAGTTAAAAATATTAAATGTAATATTGTACCCCATGGTACATAACAAACATTTAAACAGAACTAAAAATTAATACCACAGGTGGTGGTTCGACAAATAGATCTTATGGTTAGTACATTGCGAAAAAGTATTCTCTAGAAATTAAAATAATTAGAATAACACTAGGTTAAGGCTGAAAATAAAAAAATAATAGATTAGCTGGAAAGGAGACAGACACAAAATTTTACTTACAGATAAAATTTAATCTTGAAGTCGACGTAGTAAAAAACAAGACAAAATTGACATTATGGAATTAAGTGGTAGTTATTTACCAAAACAATATAACAACTAAATTTTTGATTGAACACACCAACATTCTGATTAACTCCGATCGTGAGTAAAAAAACTACATCTATCAAGCTCACATGCCAAAAAAAACTCTCCATCCAAGATTAAAAAAATATTCAAGTAGGGGGCCAAAGGCCCCCTCACCTTCATCTATCTCTTTACTACCACATCTGCCACTAAAAGAACCGGTCAGAACATTCTTTACCAACGTTGCCACTTTTTATCAGAAAGGTCAACCCGTTTCTCAATCACCCAGGTGGTGTCCGTATGTAGATGTTTCTGCATTCCTTCGGCTAGTGGTTGCATGGTGCACCCCGACCTAGATGTCTCTGCCTTCTCTTAGATGGTAGGATGTTGGAAGAAAAATATGTTGTGCTCGTTACATTAAAAGTGAAAAAATAGTTGTGCTCTTTACATTAAAAGTGTTCTGTGGAGTTTGCGAGATGAACAATAAAAAGTGTTACAATTAAGTTGTAACAAGGCCATTACTTTTTCATTTATCAGAGGTATTGTTTAATTTTAGATAACTTGAATTACTTGTAAAATACTTACCAGACTCAACATTTCTGTTAACTTTACATCAGGACTATAGCTTAGTTCAATACAAGTTTTGGAAGACTCATCTTTTTCTTCTAGGAGTGGAGATTCAGCAAAAAATATAGGTAGACTATTCTGAGGTTGACTGATGGTGCACTTTTCAGGACCTCTAAAGAAAAAGAAATTAAAAACAAATTCAATATTAATTAACACAACAGAAACTTATTTGCATTTCCCAATCGTTTAACAGCTAACGATACAAATTAGTGATTCACATTCTGTTTTAATAATAATTCTGTCAACCAACAAATTGGATCTTACGTAAAATATAAATGTTTTTATAAATAATCCTAAAACACATGTGCAAATTCAAACTCTCTACTTGCCATATCACATACCTGACCAAGTACAAAATAATAATTATTGTATAGTGACTGAAAAATAATAATTATTGTATAGCAAATTTATTTAAAAAAATTATACTACACAGTTTTAAATTAACACAACACTCACTATTTCTGCGGATAAGTAGAGGTAAGTGTTTACATTTCCCTAAAATTGTTTTTAAAATATATTAAATGCAATGAAATCAGTGTAAAAGAATTGATTTTAAATATTGTAAAAAAATAGTTTTACCAAAAATAAATAAATAAAAAAAGAACTAAAAATATGTTGCATTTCAAATGTAATAGGTACATATTTTCAGCATAATTAATAATAATCATAATCTAAAAAACGAGAACACAAATTTCTTCTGGAAAAATATACTAAAGGGCACTATCACAGATTTCAAAATTATTAAGGGAGATAAATTTCTATCACTTCATTGCCTATGGATCACTTTTAAGTAATACAGTCAAATAATTTAAAACACATTAAATTACTTTGTATAAAATATATTTTTAATTTGTTTTCTTGCTATTGTGTGTCCACTCTGAAAAATCAAACAAATATTTATGCTTTTCAAACTCAATTTCTTGAACACAGCATTTCTAAGAGTAATAAAGTTCATCCAGATTCATTAGTTTTTCCTCCCTTTGCTTTAGTGTGAATTATAAATTCAGCAACTTAAAATACATTAACATTTAAAACAATCTAATAAAACTGAATGTGCTTACAATAAAAACTAATATAATTACTTTGTTTTAGGCAAAAGTTCACTTGGCCAACTCATGGTGATGCATATTTCATAATCGAACCAACAATTCTTACCAGTGCAATTATTCTTTTGTAAAGGATGAATATTCAATGAAACATTATACAACAGTCGACCAAATTTACCTGCAAATATTAAAAATATATTACTTTTTCGCAAATTAATATATTTCACGGGACACATTATTTTTAAAAAGAGCTTAAAGGTGCTTATTATTGATTTTCCTTTTTTTAATAGCCCTCAAAGTTGATTTTTCATTGGATTTTGCAAGAAGAGCTTAATTCTAATTTTTCCAAAATATGAATTTTCTTTGCCATGTCGATAGCGTGATGAATGACACAAATAGCGGTTAAATGTTTTCATTATTCGTTCAACCTCAATTTATTTTGGTGTACGGTTGCCAGTATTGTAGGAAAGCTGCAAACATTTTGCATGTTGGATGGTCCACAAGTGTGTACACTAAGCTGGATTTGGTGGAGAGGATTATTGCAAAAGTGTATAACTCTGCAGCATTCTGCGAGAGATTTTCTTCCCACTCTTTAAAATTGAAAAAAATTTCTTCAATTTTTAGTGATCATGGGGACCAATTAAACATTGCTGTATCTATTTCCCCAATAGCAAGGATTCAGATTTGTCATTTCAAAATAATATAATTTATCTCTTTATCATTGAATTATTTCATTTAAATATAATGAATATAGGGACCATATAAAAATTAACTTCTGAAAAAAATGTTTAGCTTCAATATTTATTGCATTTTCAGTTCAAAATTATTGAAAAAATTTGAAACTATTTTATAATTTGTTATTTCAAATTACAAATATTAATAAAAATTTAACAGGTGATCATTTAAATTGTAATATTGTACCATTTTAATTTGTGTAATTGTACCATTTTAACTTGTAATATAAATTTATTAAGGTTTTCCTTATTCTCTTCACATATTTAACATCTCAGCTTGATCAATAATATTAATATTGTAAATGTTTTTTGCTGAGTTTACATTGATAAATATTTTACCAACACTAAATTTAAAAAATACTCCCTATAACCTTTTTAAAGTTTAATTGCAATTTTGAATTAAAATTATTTATTTTACACAAATGAATTAAGTGACTATTAATTTAAAAAAATAGAATGAGCAACTCTAAATTGAATACATTTAAAATTGTACATAAGATATTTTTATGGTGGCAAATGATTTCAAGAATAGAGTTCTTTGCCTGAAACTAGTAATTATATCATGATTAAGTAAAGTCTCGGAAAATGTTTTTATACTTTGCTTACTTATATATACATATATTTTCAAAAAATCTGATGAATTTTTTTTTTTATTGAGTGCAGATCCTAATTATGATTTCTTTTTCTTTTTATTTTTTTTAAAAAAAGTACTTAATTTTTTTTTTTTTTTTGGTAGCTTTAAAAGTTCTTAAAATATGTTTATTTGTGGTAAAAAAATTACTCATCTTGAGTTAAATAGTAAACTAAAGATGTTAATAAAAACTAAACTAAAGTGTTAAATAATAATTAAATTAAACTAAAGTGCTAAATAAATTCCCGAAATATAACAATCAAAATTTTACACAAAATATAACTTCAAAGTCAAACAAAAATATATATTCATATAAAAATTTGGAAACTTGACAGATTTTTGATCATTAAAAGACTTAATTTAAAATGTAAATACAAAACAAATATATTTCAAATGAAATGTAAAGATAAAAGAATATTTATTCAAAAAAGAATAAAGTTAGGTATTTGAGAAGAGAAATAAATTACAAAAAAAAGGACATATGGGAATTGATCTGGACTATAGGATGTGGTTATGACTTCCCATTTGAATTACTGCAGAAATTTCTTAACTGCTTTCTTTATCCGTGATCTAGTGTTTCAGTGCAACATAATGAGTCCACAAGATAGGACTCATGGGATAGTTTAATTTGATTGCCTTTTAGAGATTTGTTAACATTTCAAAATACTGCTGATCAATGATTTTTTCCCATTGCTCCAAAATATTGATAAAGAGCAGCCACATGAAATAGATTTCAATATCATGCACCTCTATCAGAATCATAGCTAATGGCTTGAGAGCTGCTCAATTATTACACTTTCATCATTGCGTTCAGGACAAGTACTACCATCTAGGGCAGGGGTGGGCAATCTTTTTTAGTCGAGGGCAAAAGATCGAGAGAAAAGTTTGGTGGGCCAGATAAAAATTGCTAAAATAAATAAAATAAAAAAACGATATACAAGTTTTAATTTAAATATTCAATGAGATGGATGAAATTGTGACTTCATTTTTAAAAGTTCCTTAAATTGAGGTTCCAAGTGAGATGTACTTTATTTTAAGGAACGAGGCTAAATGTTTAGTTATTAGTCTAATTCTGAAATGATTTTTTCTAAGGTTCATCATTGCAAACACTTGTTCACATATATAAGATGAAGCATACATGGCGCTGATTTTCTGGGTATGATTCAGTAAATTTGGGAAACTAGCTTTTGGTAATGATTTGTAAAACTCAAACTTTGGCATACTTAGAAACAATTGCTTTAGATGGCGCCAATCTACGGCTATTCTATAAAGAACTTCTTCTTTCAACATTTTACCAATTGAAACTCTGTCTGTGTTAGCTATTTCCATCAATTTATGCTTTGTAGGACAAAAGTAGAGAAAGTTAAAATGTCATCAGTAACTTTGTTAAAAAAGAAAGAACGAAAATAGCTTTAAACAAAGTAGACAAGAAAATGGATGTATATTGTTTATATTCTCCACGGATTGGCAAGTTCAAATTCTATCCACGGGCCGGATTAAACTTTCCGACGGGCCACAGTTGGCCCATCCCTGATCTAGGGAATATAAATTGGGTAAGTGTTTTTCATCAGCAATTGTATTTTAGACTTTCCTCAATTACCCTAAGCAACATAGTTTTGGTTTAAATGCCTTTGCATTATTTCTTATTGATTGTATGTACTTAAAATAAAAGGAGGTATTTCTATTTAAGGAGAAATAGCTTCAGTAAGATTACTTTGAATTATTTATCAGTATATTTAATTAACAAATAAACATATCTGCACAAATTAAATTATAAAATATATTAAATGCCATTCCTAAAATTTTTAATATTTAGTATATGAAAGGTCAACATAGGCAGCTAATAAAATTTACTTAAAAGAGAACAATGGTGACTGCTCCCACTAAAGTACCTATCAGTAGTTTGAAACCTAAAATGTAATAAGATAAATATAAAATAAGAAAATACAATTTATTTTACCTGAAAAACCTAGAAGGTATCCTTTTATCTGGCCTTTTAAATGAAGAGAGAAATCAGTTGGTAATTCGCCTCGAATTCTAAACTTTGCACTAACTGATGTATTAACAAACATGGATTCTTGCCAATCGCCCTCCATTGCAAGATCAACAACTCCAGACAAAACAGCACTCATACTTTTACTTTCATCAACAACATGGGAAGAGGAAGAATTTAATGCAGACATGGAACTTAGGAAGGTTTCAGAAATTTTAGTACCACCTGAGGTAAAATTTCTCACAGGGCACAACCTCAGATTGGAAACTTTCTTGAAATATCTGTTCCAGTCCTACATTTAAATTACAAAAATAAAATTACACAATATTTTATGTGTTATTTACAAATTAAGAACATTTATTATTTTCAATCAACTCAACTAGTTAGAAAACTATATATATATACATTGCTAACCATGCATACAGAAAATGACAAATGTGGGATAACATAAAATATAAAATAATGACATGAAAACTACTGAAAATTAATAAAGAAGTAATGAAATAGAAAATTAATAAGTTTACAATAAATATTAAAAAAAAATTTGAATTGAAAAAATTATGCGCTCACTGTAAACATATTTAGGATCCAAAAGGAAGATTAATTAAGAGTTTATTTATTTAAAATACATGGAAAATTTTGGTTTGAACACAGTCTCTTTTACTCTGTGCAAACAATAAATTTTTGACTTTTGTAACAGATTGAAGTTAATTTTCTGTAAATTGATGTGAATACAGAAAGTTTCTCATTGTTTCAAATGGTTTGAGGCCTACCACAAATGTTAGTACTGATTGTGGTTCCACTTTGCTGTCTTGGTATTGGTATCACAAGCTCCTGTCACCATTTCTTGAACTGTTGACAAATCAAGTTTGAACATTTTCATCAACTGATGCATAAACATCAAATATGTTTGAGGTATTTTCCCCAATTTTAAAAAGAAGTCTTAGTTTTGATTTCTGTTATTGTTTGACAAAATGTATGCCGACTAACAGACAAATTGGCTACTGAGTCAGTTGAACTTGCACACTTAAGTTAGATTTTTTTTTTTTGCTTGTTTTTGCGTTTTTTAAATTGATCTAAGTAACAGTGAATTTGAACCTAACATATTACATTATGTTTTTTAGAATGGTAAAAAAGGGGATTTTTTTAAATAGAAAAATAAAGGAGTGGAATGTAAGTTACTGCTCTAAAGTATATAAACACTCAAATCTCAACGAAATGAAATGTTTTAAAAGAAACCTTTTTTTTAAAATTAAAATATGCTATAAAAAGTTAAAATGGAATCGAGAAAATTAGCATTAATGCAATAAATGTAACAATTTGTCGACAAACATTGCTGTTAGCGATTGTAAGAAAATGTGTGATTGGTTGGCTTTGCTGAGAAAAAATAATTCTCAGATTTCTTTAGATGAGAGTACAAAAGCTTTCAGAAAAAGAGTGCAACATAAAATCTATTGCTAATACATTATAACCAACTAAAACATTTTGAATCATTCTGTCAAAAGTAGAAAAAAAATTACCACCAAAGCATCAGAACAAACTTGAGCAATAAATGGATTCAGCCAATTATCTCTGCATGATAACATGCTGAACTGGAAGAATTTTGAATACAACAAATCCACTTAGCTGTCGATCTTTTAAATCCAGAGGCGCAAGAGAACAAACTAAGACAACTGAATTGATGGATGCAATAAGTTTCATCTGCGAAGTTAGTCAGAAATTAAAACTTAATATTGTAGAAATGTGGAAAAATGGGGCTGATTAAGGGAATAAAGAAGGACTATTAGGACATCAATTTATTTGCAACCATTGATGCAACATCAATTCATAACACCAATAACATCAGTATATTAGCTGATGTAGCAATTCATATTCTTTTTGTTCTTGTAACATCAGCTGCCACAGAAAGAACATTCAGCACATTCTAATAGATACATAAAAAATAAAAAAAAGAATCAGATTATAAACATAGCGGGCAGCCAAGTTAACATATATAGCACACAATTAGAAAATATTAAATATTAGCAAACCAAAAAGAAAAAAATTATCAAGTTTTATCAAAATAAAAAAAAAGGTTGCAAACATCACCTCAACAATCTACAAATGAAACTGAAGATAATGAATCTGATAAAAAGATGCAGAAGATGATGAAAATGAAGGAGATACTTCACTTGAGAATGTGATAAACACTGTGTCTAACAGTGAATTAAATCATTCTGATTAAGCCCTCCTCCTTGTACTTTTAAAATTTATTTTAAATGCATAATAGTAGAAAATATTGGGATAAACATTGATTGACTAAAATTTTAATTAAAGATTTATTCTGTAAAAATCCGTATTAAATTTTTCAATAAAAAATATGTTTGCAAAAACATAAAATGCATAAATTCATAATTTTAAAATACAATCTTCAAAACCTAATTTTATTTTAATGCTACAAAAATATACTTGAAATCTAAAGTTTTTACAGTATTAAAAGGAATTAACCTTAATATAGAGATAATTGATAATATAAATTTAAGTTCGATAATTTAAGATTCATTAAATAAATTTAAATTACGATACACTTTTAATACATTGTAATTTTTTTTTAAACAAATAGATAAGTCAGCAGATATAAAAAGTAACAAATAAATAACGAATTTAAAAATATTTGTCAAATTGTATTTTAAATGTCTGCTCATAAAATGTAACACAATGTATTTTACCCTTTTAAAAGCTTTAAAAAAAAAGATATGAGAAATTATCCCATTTTGACCTAACATGAATTCCCAAAGCAATTGTTGAATATAAAGTTTATTTAAGAACTTAAAATGTGAGTTATTTATGATAAATAACTTAATTTACAGAAAGTTAAAAACCAATACAAACCATTTTTACATCTGGATTCGGCATTTCTTTTTCTCCAACAACATAAGCTAAGACAATCATAGTAAAACCAAATGCAGTAAGACAAATCGTGAATACAAATAATGGTGGTTGACTTGAAATCAAGCTTTGACTAACACTATATCCCATTCCGAAAATTCTACAAAATAAATATTTTTTTTACTCAAATAAAAAGACCTAGCAAATAAGTCAAAGACCTAGTAATTAATTAACAGTTAAACAATTGTTACATGAAATTATAAATAACATGACTAAATAGATGCTAATAAGATTTTAAATATAAATAGTGACATAGTTAGAAGGGAAAATATTTTTCAGACAAAATAAAAAATGCGACAAAAAATATTTTTAATTTAAGAAGGCTTCTTTACATTGCAGAATCTCTATGCCTGTAAAGTTGAAAAGTGTAATTTCATAAACATAAATAATATGTACAATCATGAAAAAAGTAAAATAATTCTAACATAATTTTAAAGTATGTCATTTTAAATAACAATATATCAAATTAGAAATTTCATTACTTTGAAACTCTTCATCTAATTATTACTCATTGTTTGTATCTTTTCATTTAAAATTACACTGTTCAAAATGGCAATAGATCTCAGTTTTGAATGAATAAGACCTGAATTTCAAAATATTCTTTAGAATATTGCTGAGCTTCATGGACTAGAATGTAAACGTATCATGAACTGTATGAAATGTGATGGAATATTTATTTGTTAAGACCTTTCTACCAGACTCATGCTGCAACATTCTGCGCCATTAAGAAATTTGCAGGGTATGGGGTAATCATCTGCATTTTGACTATATTTTTTATACATGGTCTATAATGTGAATCATAATTATAACAGTATTTATAATGCAAGAATTGTGCATGATTTAAACATTTAAGTAAGCTTGATTTTTAGTAACATGTGCCAGTGTTTTCACTACAGCGCGAGAACCTCGCATATTTTTTTCTTTTCTCGCATTAAAAAATTATTAATGCGAGAAGATCGCGCACTCTATTAATCAATTTCAAAATGAGCGAATTTTGGAAAAAAATTCGTCTTCTGCCATTTTGAATAAAATCCGTTTAACTTTTCTTCCTTGATCTTTCATTATTTTCAACATGGATCCCTGTTATCTAGCTTCCCTATTTACCAGTATTGTTCAGAACCGGTGCGAACAGCAGAACACAATGCCCCCCCCCCCGAATGACGGAACACCTTTCAGAACACATTTTTCTGCAACCACGTGTTCACGGAAGGTAAGATTTCTTCATGTAAGACGTTTAAATTTTTTTCAATGCTACAAATTTACTAAGTGATTCCGAATTGTTCAGCATCTGTTGCAAGGTCATTTAGCACTCAAAACCGAATTAAGACAAAATATCGTATACAAATGACTGATAAACATTTGAGCAACCTAATGAGAAAAGCTGATGAAAAAGTAGATATAGAACGTTTTCCATATGATGATGCAGCAAAAATATTCAATGCTTTAAAAATTAGAAAATGTTAAAAATGTATTATAATTTAAGAAATATTTTTTTTCCAAGTCTATTCGCGTTTTTTTAATTTTTAGAAATCTCACTTAACTTTTTGAGATCTCACCCTGTTTTTGAGAAAGGGTGAGAAATTCTCTCTCATTTTTTTTCTGTAATGAAAACACTGATGTGCCCAACAACAGTAACGAAACTTGCACCAGATGCAACACATTTTATTTTGTCAAATTTCAACACTTTCTGAAGCATCATGTAGAAAACCAGTTAGACCAAAAACCCAATATTGGCAGCCACAAATATCAAATTATGATAATTCAAATTTAACATACATTGACTTAAAATCCAATTGAGTTTTTTTTTTTTTTTAATTAGTTTCACATTTATTTTCTTCTAACTATGATCTTAATTTTACAAAAGTTTATATTTGCTAAGATTTGTTATGATAATAACTTAAATTTTTGAGAAGAATTATTTAGCAATATGCTCTTACTGATTACATCAATTTCTATCATATTATAGAACAGGTTGGCGAAGAGAAAAAGTTTGGAACCATGAATCTAAAAGGAGTTGTTTTTTAGAAAAAATGTGAAATTAGAAACATAGTAAGGCAATAAATATTTTTGACACAAAATTTAGTAATTATTTTTTTTCTTCATAAAACAATGCTATTATAAAATTAAATCATGATTAAACTAAACAATATAAAGCTCTTCACTTACTTTGTGACACAGTTATTTACAAATTTAAACCATCTTTGCCTCACTTTTTATTATTTTCAGGAAAATATCTTCTCAAATCAAAGGAATTCATCTGCAAGTATTTAATAAAAATTAACACAAAAAAAATTACCTAGTTTAAAAACAGTTTAAAAAAATAATTTATCTCATTTATAAGTTAAAAACTGTAATTACAAATTATGATTTTTATAAAATACACTTTATATACTTCACAAAATACACTTATGATATTAAAAAAAAAAAAAACTTATAGCAATATTTTCTTAATTAATTTATGTATGTAATCCCAGTGTTTTCCCTATATTAAGAAGGCAGCCTCTGCCAGCCTTATGATCTCTATAACAGTGCCTTCCTTGCTTTTCTTGTAAAAATAAACCATCATCTCTTAAAAACTTTATTTTTTCAGGAAAAGGTTTTCTTAATCAGGGTGTGCAGCCAAATTATTCAATGAAAAATAAGCACCTTTTAAGCACTTTTCAAGCACTCAAAAAATATTTTTAAGCACTCTAAAAAAATATCATATTTAGGCAGGGTTGGAAAGTTTTTGACAATTGACGGTTTTATCCTGTTTTAACCGTCATGTTAAAAAAAAAAACTTGGCATTGTTTTTAACAATTGTAAAAAATAATCGGTTAATGCTAATTTCTGGTACTACTCAGCTAATTTCAACCCTATTGATGCACAAAAGAAAAGGATCACACCATGCACATGCATTTTACAATGTTGAATACATTAGTTTTATAATAGTTACTATGTTTTACTGCTCTAATCTAAAATTGTTGCCAATCCAATATAGTTTTATTAGATACTACAAACTTTGATAGTTTTTAACAGTCAAATTTAGCCCTTTCAAAATTCAAAGTGTCTTCTTCTGCGAGGAAGCACCCAGCCCTTTTTATTGCTAGGAAGAACTGAGTAATCTCATGCATAATGAATGCAATCTTATTTATTATATTAAATCTTGTACATACTTATTTACTGATCAAAAATTCTAAATAAAACTGTTAAATCTAATTTATTTTGATTCAGTTATTAGAATTATCTCAAGACATTCTATCATTTGTTTCTTTAGGTCCTCTTAATAATTTGTCTTCCTTTTATTTATTTATTTATTTTTAAATAGTATGCCTATCTTCAATTCTCTCTTTGAGAGGGATATCTACCAAAATTCTTCATTTGGTCTTTTCTAGATTAAAATTATGATAGATGTGAGTCTATCTTGATTTTTCTTGTAAATTACTAATTGGCCGAGTAATGTGTTATTCTGCTTCACCAGGTAAATAATTGTTAATGAAAAACAAAAGAAGTTGCATGATCAAATCCCCCATTGTAACATTATATTTCCAACAACAAATTCATTTATTTAGTTAGCTTATGATTTTATTATCGACTGATCATAGATGTCTTTATTTTTAACTCTTTTGTTTTTGTTATGTGTCTAAAAATAATAAGGATTTTAATTTAAACTTCAAACTGTTTATGAAACTTGAACATTGTTTTCATTATAAAAAGTAAATGTTTTCATTTAATAAAAACAATTTTACTGTCAATAGATGGGAATATGCTAACATTGATTCATGACACTGCATTTCAACAGTAGGGTTCAAGATATACATGAAATGGAGAAATAATATTTTATATCAAATAACTCCCTATTATTTAAATATACATGTACTTTAATATTAATTTGAAGCTCCATTTCGGGTTTCACAATGGTATTTCATTTTAATAAAAAATTAGATGTTTAGTTAAAAATTAAACTGCTTCTAATAAATTTGTTTTCTCATTTGTATTAAAATTAAATTTTAAAGAACTAATTTTTCAACATATTTGTTTGAGAGAATTTCAAAATGAATTCTTACTCCTTTAACACTAAGCACAGTAGGCACTACCAAATATGCCATCCATTTATATTTGAAAATTTAGATTTTTCAATTTTTTAAATACATACTCTATGAAGATCTATAATTAAAAATGCAATATAAAATCTTCATGAATTTCTCAACAATTTCAGCTCAAATATTAAAATAAGATTTTACCACTTAAGAAAATTTTCTAAAATTATATAAAATTCATCATTGATGTGAAAATGAAAATTTAATTTTTTGTTAAATTTAATTACTTAGAAATGAAAGTTTAATAATTTAGTTGAAAATTCTTACATTTATTTTATGAATTATAATTTTATGATTAGGTATGTATAAGTAAAATCTATCCTACATCAAATATAACGATTTAGTATGTTATCTAAGAATTGCTTTCACAGTATTCAAACTTTGGCAGTATTCAACATTTGGCTATGAAAATTAGTATGCAATTTGTAATTATAAAAAAAATGTGATACTCTTTTAAGTAAACATTAAAAAAAAACATTCATTAAATGTATTTTTTTTCGCCAAAGTTTGCACTGTTATTTCTGCTTATTTAAAAACAATTTGGAACTAATACAATTATTTAAACTAAAGTGAAATGATAAAATGCTTAAAATTTTATTTGAACAGTTAATATTCCTTTATTGAAAAGAGTTTCTTTCACTTGTGTTAAATTATAAGACATTCTGTTGAACAATTTGAAACCTATTAGTCACATTGATTAAATGGAGTAGTTACATTGGGTTATTACTAATTTCCTCTCATACACATAAAATATTCTGCACGTTATCAAACAAATCAATCCGTTTTGCAAAGTATGGCAAAAAAAAAAAACTACAGTGGGATTTGATTTCATTTTCAGATCATATTTATTCTCTGGATCTAAGATAGATGTAATACAGAACTCATTCTAGGCAGAAAAAAGGGCAGGGTGCAAAAGTTTAAAAAAAGGGCATTATTATTCTAAAAAGGCAATTTCTTTCTATGGTCACTATCGCTCTTTCCATTGTCAATTAGTAAAAGAATTTTTTTTTTTTACTTTACTAAAAGTAGCGAAGCAATCATATTAATTACTAATTTTTATTAATAAATTAGCATATATATCGAGTTAATGAGCTAATTAGCTTAGTAATTTATTTCAAATGCATGCATATATTAGTAAAATAATAAATGCATGTTTTCAAGTGTTTGTAGTTATGATTTAATAATTAAAATGATTAATATTAATTATGATTTAATGATAGTGGAAGTAACAAACTTTCAAAGACAAGTGCAACAAGAGGTGTGATAGCTATTTTTCCTTTCCCATATAAATCTATGTATTGACAATGACAAACTAAATAAAAAAGAGTTGAAAATAACAAAAGTTTAAGAAATCCATTGTAGTGTTTGGGGAAAAATAAAGAAGGGTTGAGGAAAAAAAGGGCATAAAGTCTATTACATCAAGGCACTAATTTACTTCAGGGGGAAACAGGGTAGATTCTTTTGACTAAAAGGGCAGCAGGGTGTTGCGCCCTGTTTACCCTGCCTAGAATGAGCTCTGATGTAATCTATCTTAAGATGTATCAATTTAGATGTAATGATGTTATTAATTTAGATCTCTGTATTAATTTTGATACTATCATTAAAAACTTAGCTCCAATGACACAAAAGACAGATTTTTTGTATTTATTTATTGTTAAAAATTTCAATAATTTTTAATAGCAATATATAAACTTTTTACTAAAAAGCAATTTTGTTTCAGGTGATTTTAATTCATAGATCCTCCATTTAAATCAGCCGCATTTCCCAATAATATGACATAGTTGTAGAGCTAGGGGAGGTAGTAAGATAATGCACTGGTCAATCTTTATCCCCAGTACACCACTGCATGATTAATGTAAATTCTGAGACTATGCATCATGTTAAATGACACTGAATGTAGTTGGTTACACTTTATAATGGTAGGATTAACTTTTCAAATATGTTTTGCTTAATATAATAACGTTTATTAATATAATAAGTCCTCGGTAAAACCAACACATAATGATAAAAAAAGAAAAGAAAAAAAAAGTATTTTAGCTGTATTAAATGTGTCAGCATATGACGATATATACATTTCCTAGACTAACATAAAGGTCAATTTAATTTTTTCGACTTAATCTGCTGAGATAAAATTAAATTTCTTAAATAACGAAGAAAATTAGTTTTCAGAATTTGATTTTTTTTCTTACTATTGACAAAAACATGAAACATCCAGTGCTGATAGTAAGTTTAAAATATACTTATAACCATTATAAAACTGATACAGAAACAAAATATTTTTCAAAGATCAATATAGCAAGTTCACTTTTGAATCTAACATTGAAATTCAAAATTAACTATTTTACAAACTTTTTCTTGTCCCCATACTTGTCACCGTGTCTGTTAACCAGCATTTGTTTTGTTTTCATGCAGACATTATTGCTGACTTTTACATTTGAACCGCTTGAACGGTTTCAATGCAAAAATCAGTGTTGTAGTATTTCGCTAGTGAATATTATGAACTATAAACTGAAAACTTTTATTTACGATGAGAAATATTTTGTTCAAAAATAGTGTAATTTAATTTGACTTTAAAATTTTACTTAAAAAAATGAAAAAGAGGAGCTTTTTAGAGTATTAATCCTGTTATACTATATTTTTAGAGACACCTTGACATGCATATAAATTTATCAAACATTTATTCCTACGAATTTAGAAATTTAAGAACTCCAACTTCCACAGCAAATATCCAGTTGTTTTCCAAAATGGCATCCGACGGAGGTCTGAAAGTTGACAATCCTGGTGAAACTATTGATTCTTTAAATAAAGAAGTAGAAAATTTAAAAACACGGTTAGAAGAAGAAAGAAAAAAGCTCAATGATGTAGCTTGTAAGACATGATTTTAATATAAAGGATTACTTTGTATTGCATACGAAAATGATATCTCAACCTACAAATTTCATATTATTTGCGAATGTTTACATTAAAATCGACTATCCTATTCTAAGCACGGAAACATAAGACTATTAAATGTTTACTATTTTATTTATTCATTCTTTATTTACTATTTGATTTATTCATCCATGTCTCTAATTTATCCATTTATCAATAAATTACTTGCTTTATTAAATAGTTTTTGCAAGGATCTTAGTTTTTCTCTATTTATTTACATAAAAACAGCTGATGTTGGAAAAGTTTGGCAATTATGAAAATAACTTTTCTTATTGTATAACATGATTTTTATTGCATGCATCTAATACTAAAATCTGTTATCAGAATTTTTTCCTCTAACGTTTTCGTTTATTGTTTCTTTTTTTTTTTTTTTCTTTCAATCCTTTGACCTTTATTTCTCAAAACTTTTAAATGTTAAGAAAGCCTAATCTTATTTTAAAATTCAGTTAGAATGTAGAATAGGGTACCCCTTAAATTGGGTACTATACCTTGGAGCCTTAACTGTATAGAAATTATTCTTAAAATTTAAGAATTTCTATACAGTAAAGTTAAGATATAAATTATTTTCGTTTTATTTATATCTCAAATACTTATGGTTAGAAAAATCTCGCTTTTGAATCATTTCCCTTTTTTCTGTAAGAAAATAAAATTTAAAAATAATTGTCAAAATACAATTGGCACCTGATTGTAAACTTTTATCTTAAATTCAGACATTTTAGGCAATCTGATCCTTGCAAATGTGTTATGAGAATGTTTTAACTTATTATTTTCTAATTATGTTTTCCTTAAAAAAAGTATTTTTAAATTGAATTCCAGCATATATATCATTTGGGAGTTCACACATAAAAACAAAATGAAACACTTTTGTATTAGTACATCCTTCAATTTTTTACAATTAAACATATTTTTTTTCTACCTGGGGCTTTTCTCTAATTATTTAATTCCTTGAGAAAGAAAAACTTCAGTTAGTATAAATTCTTGCATTTTGTTTCCTGTCTTATGATTTGAGCTAAGGCTTAAAACCAATGTATGACATAACATCTTAGAATTTTTTTCTATCCTGTGTAGATAGAAAACAATTACCTAATTTATATGATTTTTTTTTAAAAATCTTCATTTGAAGGAATTTTAAATTTAAGGAACAAAAATCAAACATTGACAAGCAGGGGTCTGTTTAGAAGAAATTTGGGTCTGTTAACGGACCCTTCACAAAATATCTTTTCATAAAAACGGACTCTTCACAAAATGATTTTTCTTTTAATCGGACCCTTCACAAATTTGTTTATCTCCATCATTATTTTGTTAATTGAATACACCCTTCCCAGGGCAGAAAGCAAGAAAAATGGATGTAAATGAATTAAGTTTTGTCTTCGCCAGACAATTCTTCCATTATCCGTCCGAAATGAATATTCTGCGTTCAGCAGTATAGACTAAATACCAAATATTTGTATGTTGCATCTCTAATTTAGAAGCAGCAATTGCTGTTTATTTTTGAAAATTTAATTTTTTTAATTATGATTTTACAGTGCTGAGCATAATCTTGTATATATTTGCAATTTAAAAACTCCTTGTAAAAGTTTTTTTGCAATAACCGGAATCCTGTTTGCACAAATTCATAAAAGCAGGACCCTGGTTGGAAGAATGTGACTAATTTTTTCACAATTTTACAAAAACTGAACCTTTCACAAAATGTCTGGATAGACCCCTGACAAGCTTAAACTTAGTAAGTGGATTTGAACTTTCTACCCTTGATAATCAGCTGTCAATGAAAGCTCTATTTATACCTAAATCTTATACTCTATCAGTGTTTTCACTACAGCGCGAGAATGCGAGAATCTCGCATATTTTTATCTTTTCTCGCAATAAAAAATGATAAACGCGAGAAGTTCGCGCACTCTATTAATCAATTTTAAACTGCGCAAATTTTGGAAAAAATTTCGTCTTTTGCAATTTTGAATAAAATCCGTTTCACTTTTCTTCCTTGATCTTTCATTATTTTGAACATCGGTCCTTGTCATCTAGCTTACCTATTTACCAGTATTGTTCAGAACCCCTTTCAGAACGCATTTCTCTGCAACCACGTGTTCACCGTAGGTAAGGTTTCTTCACGTAAGAAAGACGTTTACATTTTTTGTGCATGAATGTAAGATGGACAAATACCTTGTTAAGGCGACATCTTCTATTCCGTAGCAGACAAATGAAAATGAAACAAATGTCGGTAGAAACGGTCAAAACGAAACAAATACAGATATTTTTCAGCCAAATAAATATAATAACTGATGAAAAAGTAGATATAGAACATTTTCCATATGATGATGCAGCAAAAATATTCAATTAGAAGATGTTAAAAATGTATTATAATTAAAGAAATAATTTTTTTCCAAGTCTACTCGTGTTATTTTAATTTTTAGAAATCTCACTTAACTTTTTGAGATCTCACCCTGTTTTTGAGAAAGGGTGAGAAATTCTCTCTCATTTTTTTTCTGTAATGAAAACACTGTCTATACCATTTTATTATAACTATACATTTTGTTTTCTTGTTAATACAATTACTTTTCTGTTTAATGTCTAAATAAATAGTTTTCTAATATGTAAATATCTATTTAGTGTCTAAAGTTGCAGAGAGATTAGAACCGATTCAAACTCTGAATATTAAACCTCGTAGAGTTTTGAAAGGCCACCAAGGAAAAGTCCTTTGTTCTGATTGGTCTTTAGACAAA